TCAATTTTTACCGCATTCTAGCGTGAATATAATTCTCCATACGTAAATTGTTTCTTTATACGATATTCATTTTACATTTGAGATATCGTGTTGCATTTTTCTTTATGTTCATAATCATATTTACAACCCTCAAAGTAAAAATTTCAATTAATTTTTTTCTGTTCTCGACAGATACATATATATATATATGTATATTCTAGTCTCGAACTGATTGTGCCTATTGGAATTCGACAAGACTTTTTATGTCAGATTTTATATCAATAAAACAAATTGAATCGAAATCATTAAAGTCACAAGTACCGCTTGGGATGGAATCCAGAATTTTGCATACATTTCATGATCATAGACTAGCAGGACATCATGGACGGGATAAAACGTTAGGAATAATTACGAGACTATTTCATTGAACAGATTTGAGAAAAGATGTCGCTAACAACGTTGCGTCATGTGTAAAACGTGCAGGCAGATAAAATCTCGAAATACTCTTAATTATGCAGTCATGAAAAGAATGGTCGTACAACCTAACGAGCGTCATATTTGTGCAGACAGAAATCCGCTTTGTTTTACCCAGCCATATTTATGTATATTGATCGTTATCAAATCAGAAACAGAAATTTGCAACAAGGTAACATGTCCACGGTTAGATGGTATCATACATATCATACAACATTTATTTTGATTTTAATACTCCATTTATCAATACACTGATAAATAAGCATCCTGGAATAATTTTAACGTAACGGTCAAAATTACCCGGGTGCGTTTTGAAGGTTTATTAATCGTCTAGAAAACCAACCGATCATCTTTACCATGTGTAAGCCAAATCTCAATTACTATGTATCAGAGTGAAATAAGACATAAGTAGTGTCGCCGGACCCGAGTTTACAGAGAATCAGAAACCTAAACCAGAAATCATAGGAGGAATCGTAATCCAGAAGATCAGGATCAGAATCCAACCCTGACCTGACCTGACCCAGACCATACCATTAGTATGTAGACTAGAAATAAGGCTTCGTGTGATTGATAATAAACGTGTGCATTAGTTAGGAAAAACAACTGTTGTGGAGAGCAAGAGCTTTATGTATATGTGGAAGTGGGCTATAAAGCACTAGCTGGCCCCCCTCAAAACCACGCAACAGTATTTATCGTTTTGAAAATTATTCCGCATTTGAATTTTTTACAAATAAATCCAAATTTATGCCAAAAAAATGTAATGGTCGATACATATATCTCATTACATTACGCAAGAACTATTGCAACCACCCTTAGCAAAAATGTTCTCGCCTCAAATGTTCAAGCCTCCTCGGGCTACGGCCCTGGAAGCAAGCATCTGTGCTCCGCCATTTAATATTTTTTAGTAAATTAATTGTTTTACTAAAATTAGTGACAAATTCCGTTGAATTTATGTCACATCTATTTAATTAAGCTGCCCCCTCACTAATTAAGCCAAAATTGTTTTGACAAACTATTTTCCTCCCATGGTTTTAATGAAATTAAAAACTACGTACAATACGTCACTATTGGAATAAAGGAAAGGAAGGATTTTTTGTCCCGTCCCGTTTGACCTCACCCGGGCGTGAGAAAGCCGTCGACTTTGAAAAACCCGTCCCGTTTGACCTAACCCGGGCGTGAGAAACCTGTAGGATTAGAAAAAACCCGTCGCGCTGTGTGAAAAATGGAATGTCGAATCTGCGAGGAAATAATTGTACCCCGTCGCCACTTCTTGCAGTGCCGGCAATGTCTTCACCACTATCACAGGACGTTTTGCCTCCCAACAATATCCCCTGCGTTGTGGACTAATTATAAAGATAATGGTTGGGTCTGTAATTCTTGTATTAATACTAATTATAATATCCCTGCGAATTCTAATAATGTTTTGAGGAATTACCATTTTTCAACGCGGATGAAGAATCTCAACACATAGCGGTAAACAAAACAAAATCTCAAAAAGAAGAGACATCTCGTGGCAGCAACTTGAATCAAAAAACCCTGCACTCAACACAGACCTCTTCACTTAATAGCTCAGTTTCAAGCACGAATACAGCTGCAAAACTTCAATCAATAGTTTTAAATAAGCGAGTTAAACAATGCAAAGGTAATAAGTTTTGCCACGTTAACTTAAATAGTGTTCGCAACAAATTTGAAGAGGTGTATAACTTTTTAACTAATCATCACATTTCAGTTTTTGCTATTACTGAATCTAACCTTGACCCAGATAGAGATTTATCATCTACATTTCAAATACCTTCTTACCAAACTTTAAGAATGGATAGAGAAAGCTGTTGTGGTAAAAAATCAGGTGGTGGTTTACTTATTTACATTCACGAATATTTTAATTACGATGTGATTGATTTTAATTTCAAACTCCCGGGTCGTGTACAAATTTTAATAGTGAAAGTATATTGTGAATTCACTAAACCTATAATTGTCTCTGTTGTATACAATCCACCTGATACTGACAAAAGTGAGTTTTTAAATTGTTTTATAAACTTGAATACCTTTTTATCGACTTTTAAATTTGAGAACTTAATAGTAGGTGATTTGAATGTAAATTTGATTAGAAAAGGAAATGTTTTTGACATTGTCGCTCATAAACTCTTACTTCTAGCTAGAGAGTTTAACTTGTCGCAAATAATTAAAGGTCCGACACACAACGCCAGCTCTTTGTTAGATCATATGTATGTATCAGATAAAGATAAATTTCAAAACGTTTTTCATTTCCCTTTCGCTGGTTCCGACCATGATTTATGTATAGTTGCTTTTAAAAAAAAACATGTCAAGTTTCCTCCTCGAGTTATACAATGTAGAGATTTGAAAAGCATTGACTGGGATATTTTTAATGAAGATATTTCAGATTATACTTTAAACATTTCGAAAATTAATAACAATGTTCCGAGTAGTGTTGATGAGGAGTTTAGTAACTTTAACACACATGTTATGAATGTATTTGATAAGCACGCACCTTGTAGTAAGAAGCTAGTTAAAAGCAAGAACTTGCCATGGTTTAATAATGAGATATGTAAACTTATTAAAGACAGGAATCGTTTACTGCACAAAGCGAGAAAAACTAATAATGTTTCTGATTTGAAATTGTATCGTACTGCTAGAAATTTGGTAAATTACTCAATGGTGAAAGCAAAGAAAAAGTATTTTTTATGTAAATTCGAAAAGGTTACAAAGAGTACCTGCAGTATGTGGAAGTGTATTGATGAGTTGACTGGTTACACAAAGAAGGATTCTAAGCCCTTGAGTTCCTTAATGGTTAATAATGTTTATACTAATGACAAAGTAAAGATAAATGACAATTTAGCTGAGAGTTTTGTGGTCAATGATAGTTTTCAATCTATTAGCAATGATGAATGTGATAAAGCAATTAAAAATTACTGTGAAAACTATGATTATTCTGAAAGTCGCACTAACGATTACATGCCAATCGATATAAAAACTTTTGAAGTTGAAGGGAGTATATCAAAAATTAAAAACAAGCAGGCAAAAAATGTGTTAATGCCCACGATTACAGTTATCAAAAAATGTAAAAATACTTTTAGTGAGTTTCTTTCATTGTTTTTTACGTGCTTTATAAATCAGTGTATTTTACCCCAATCTTTCAAATCAGCCACTGTTACGCCTTTATATAAAGGGAAGGGTAGAGGATGTCAAGCTTGTAATTATAGACCTATTTCTATCTTAAATGTATACTGCAAAATTTTCGAAAGGTTTTTGTTTAACAGAATGATGATTAGAATAGAGAACAAGTTATGTAAATCTCAGCATGGGTATAAAAAGAACAAATCTTGTATCACTGCGGTTAAGGAGTTTACGAATTTTGTGTATGAAAGTATTGATCAACCGAAAACGAAAGTGGTTGCTATAATGTGCGACTTCTCTCAGGCCTTTAATAGTATCGAAAAAAATGTTCTGTTAAGCAAACTTATGAATGATTTCAAATTTGAACCTTGGTATATATGTATTGTTAGAGAAATATTTAGGAATCGTGTTTTTAGATTCAAAAATGATAACAAATACTACGAAATGTCACGTGGTACCTGCCAGGGTAGTGTCCTTGGGGGACTTTTTTACAGTCTGTACTCCGATAACTTGTCTTCTAGGGTGTCATGTAATATCTTAAGTTATGCTGATGATGTCATCTTGTATGCAAAGGGTACTGATGCTGATGTTGTACTCAATGATCTTATTATGCAGCTTGAGAGTGTGTGCGAATGGTGTGATGAGAATGGTATTAAGCTTAATTTCGCCAAAACTAAGTTTATGATCTTCCACAAAGAACATGACAAAACAGGAATATCTGATAAATTGTGTTTTGAAATTAGAAATGAAACAATTGAGAGGGTTAATGAGTTTAAGTATTTAGGTATATGGATTGACCCACATTTAAATTTTAAAAAACATTTTGACGTGGTATGTGAAAAAGTTGCAAGTAAATTAAAATATTTGAGAGGTTTTAAGAGATACATAAATGAGCATGTGCTTAAAGTTGTTATAAATGCGTATGTACATTCTGTAATTGACTATGGAATTGAGATCTGGGCAGTTCAAAGTGACGCCATGTTAATCGATTTACAGAGAAAGATCGATCGTTTTATAATTGAGTTTTTTTATCGCAAAGAGTCCAAGAAAAAATACAATGTAACGAATTCACGTTGTCATAATGAGTTTGATGTTAATACTCTGAGAAAATCGTGTAATTTTATGACTGTAATGCAAAGAAGGGGTTATGTTATTTTAAAGTGTGCTTATAAAGAAATGATGAGTGGTAATGTTGTGCTCTCCGGTAGGAGTGATTTGCGTAAATGTCCACTCATGTCACTTGGTAATTTCTCGTCACAGATCTTTCGAAAATCTGTGAAATATAGAACGATTATGCTATGGAATAAGCTCCCGAGAGATTTTGATATAAAGAGTATGTCATATAATAAATTTAAAGTTGCCATACATTTTGAAGATGTATTTTTGAACGAAAATTTTTGAAGATTAATGTATTTTACTATAAATGACTCGTTGTTGGTTAGTAGCTATAGTTGTTTAGAGTATATAACTAGTTTGTTAAATTGTCTATCTTTTGTGTCACTTGTGGAAGAGCATGGTATTAACTGCGAACTTGTTAGACACCTGAATAAAGCATCAATCAATCAATCAATGTTGTCAAGTAAAATACTAGATATATGTATATGTAAGATTTAGGTTTCCTATACGAAATGTCTTTTTACTTGGTACTATTTCAAAGGAAGTATTATACATATAATTTTTAAAAAAATTCATTTCATTTTGGGAAAAATGAAATGAATTAAATTGTGTACATATTGTTTCCTGTTCCTTTGTAATCATGGTAATTGTGTGATTTTGAAGTGGTTTTTAGAAAAAATGTTGTAAATTAGGAACTCAATTTATATCCTGATAATGTGTATTATAATCTCTTGAAAGAACCCAATTATTGAAAATAGTTGGCCCAGAAAAATCAGTACCATATATATGTACATATTTACATATTCGCCAAAATTTCTCTGGTACTTTTTCTAGTTTGAAACCTATGTATGTAGCTTAAAAATCTGCAGTCTTCTGGGCCATGCCAACATTTTTAATTGCACAAATTAAATTTTGCCGGACTAAAAATATATTCTAATTCGAAAGGTAAATATGTACATATGTATTTATGACGAAGTATGCATAAATTTTGATTGAAATTTTCGCGACCATTCCAAAACTCTTTACGCACATACATACTTCAAATTAAAAGGTATCAGCTTAAAAATTATAGTACTTATGTATAAATAGAAAAATGCAGCTTAGCTACGTATACGTAAATACAGCAGTGGACGTCAAATTGACTAAATTTGTGTCAGTAATTGGAAATGACCTTCAAATTCTGCTTCGAATGTTTCCAGACGTGAAATTTCCGTCGTTGCATGATCATATCTGTTTTCCTCCAATGTATCCCTAGGCCTGTTAATACATAATAAAGGGACTAATTACTTATTAGTAAATAGTTATAAGTTTGCGTACGCATGTACATTTAAACCACGTTACATATTTATTAAGAAATTTGTAAATATGTATAAGCCAAATAAGGAAATCTAATTAATTTCATTTCTACCAAAAAATACCTACACTGTAAATAATCTGGTAATAAACATTACCGAAAAGCACAAGTATATGACTCTACCAAAGTGGTAATGACAAGTTGTACCGTGTGATAATGACTTGGTAATAAAGTTTTACCATCATGGTAACGAATTTTTACTTCCTGGTAAAACATTATTACCAAATTTATTACCTGCGTGACTTTACCGGATTATTAAGAGTGTACCGCCCACTAAAATTATGATGGATGGAACGAGTTTCATCACAGTAAAATTTAGTTCCTTAGCCATCCATGCTTCTATGGAATTAATAACGAACTAAATTAGTTAACAATTATCTGCTTAAGGCATGGTAATATTTACTGCATATTATGTAACGAAGAGATTTCACATTTACATATGTACTTTTGCGAAAAATGCTCAAAGTTTATATTTATATGTAAATGCTTATGTACCTGTTAGTTAGACTCAGGATCAGTCGCCCACGAATTATCGGTAAAAATCCCCAATTTCTTGACCACTGCGTTACATACAAAAGTTATTTTATTACAAGAATTCTGCAAAATTTGGCTCGTCGCGAGTCTCTCAAGTCCTTGTTGCATAAATTACGCAGGCAACTCATCGATAAACTGGTATTAAATGGGTTTCTTGTCCTGAATAAGTGTTTATGTACATTTTCAAATAAATACATACTTGCCGTATCTGATTAATCAAACAATTTAACGGACGATGGGTACGATTTACATATGCACATAAGCAGCAAGTTTCAAATTTCAGCATCACAACAACCTACAAAAATACGAAATACGTACATTAGTTGCCAATTTTACGATAAATGGCAACTAAAATTAAATAATGCTCCCCACAGAACGGGACGATTGTCGAAATCGTAAAAAATAATTTACCATCGGTAGGTTTTCCAACGTACCAATTTTTCTTAGTGAGGCAAATACATAGCAACAAAAAAATTACTAAGTATGCAGTTGACCCTCCTCAAAAAAGTGACCACCGACGATATCTCAGTCATTTCTCAACCGATTTGGATGAAATTTTGCACCGATCATTCTTAGATAATTTCAAAACGACGTGCGAGTCGCCTTTTGGAATTTTTGTTTTTTGAGAGAGTTATTGGCAAAAATACGCGAAAATTTGCCCCTTACTGAACATTTCTTTTCATAGCTCATTAATGGGTCATCCAAACATGTTCCCTTATGGAAAACATTGTAGACAAAGTCATTCCGGTTATTTTAAGTCCAAAATTATCCAAATCCGTTAGGAACTCAGAAAGTTATTCAAATTTGAAATCTAAAAAATGCAATTTTTGAGTGACCTTTTAAATATTGAAAAATTACATATTGTGTGCATTGTGTGCAACCCAAAAACTAACAGAAATAATTCAATATCTCAGTCATTTCTCAACCGATTTTGATGACATTTTGCAACGATTATTCTTATGAAATTTACAAATGACATTCAAACTGATTTGGTGAATTTATGATCCGGATGATCAAAATCGGTTAAGAATTCCAGATATTATTAAATTTAGAAAACCTTCAAATTTTAGCAGCGACGCAAAGAATTAATTTTGTTGACAATAAATCTTCTAATCAACTCTTGCTTTAAGGAATGTGTGGTGCTTATTATTAAATATATAAAGAACTCAAGTTAATACAAGTATTAAATAAACAAGGCCCCAAAAAAGGGAAATCTTAGTGAGGCTTGGTGTGACTACAACTAATAAATAAAATTAGATTGCAGAATTTTTGCATCACCGCTCTCTGTACCGTTCTTACTGGACCTAATATAAATTTTGTTTCGCATACACATGCATTTTTACATTTATTGAATTAATTTGGCTTTTGAGAAGACGTTTTTACCAGTGAATGAGAAGTTTGGTAAATTACTTGGGAATAAATTTAATGAGCAACAATTGTGAACTACGAATATTTAAGTTTAAGATACAAACAGTTGCAAATATGCTACAAAAGTTGCAAATATTTAATTTAATATTTTCTGAATAATCCTATAATCTGGATATCCTATTAATTCTTATTCTCATGAAATTACAAGCATGTTTGAGGGGAGCCACTTATTGCAATGATTACTTAATGTTTCCAGTAAAGAATGGTACTGCGAGCGGTGATGCAAAAAGTCTGCAATCTAATTTTATTTGTTAGCTGTAGTCACACCAAGCCTCACTAAGATTTCCCTATTTTGGGGCCTGGTTTATAGTATCAGTAGCCCCTCCTCCCCTCAGTGGCGGGGCTAGGATATTTTCAGACATAGGCACCAAAAAAAATATGAAAAATTACAGAATGTGACTTATTTCATGCTACGATTTTGAATTTACAACGCAAATTAAATTTTCCCAAGAACTGGTGGATATTTATGTCAAAATTATTTTTATATCAATTCTTCGTACGTCCCAATTATTGTATGTTCTACTGACTATGAGAAGGTGTTAGATGTATATTTCCGACTTTGACTGGACTAATTTTAAATTTTTCAAGGCAGGAAATAGGCGAACCAATTTTTTGCACCTTGTTCAATGTACATAAATATTTTCGCCTTTGGCTGAGTTATGTATTAAATACACTTTTTGCCAATTGAAAATTTTTCAAAGCGCTGAAAAATTTTGCTGTTTTAATCCGATTTCAAAAAGAACATTTTGGCTCAGAGTGTCACTGACAAGGGAACCTCAACTACTGTCCCATCTCGATTTCCTTCGAAATAGCCTTAATCGACAGATAATTTAATGAAACTAAAACTTTGTCATAGAACATGCGGTGCAAAATCACGTTTTCGCGAAATATTTGGCGAAGGCTGCACCAAAACCTGCCATTTCCCAATGCTTTTAACATAGCCCCAGCCTTTTTCGAATGATGAAATTAACTTTATTGAATATTGAAAAATTATTTATGTGCCCGTCCGCGTAACTTCAGCCCGATCACGAATATGCAAAAAGTGATGCACACGTTTGCCAATTCTGCATTCCCTTAAATTCAACAAAAGTTTAGCTAATGTAAAGTTCAACTTTCTTATTGCGAAAAATTTGCAAAAATTTGCAAAAATTGAAGTTCGCAATTTTTGATAAAATTAAGTTAAAATAACCGATGCTAGTCTATTTTTACGTATTTTTCGAAATTATTTGCGATATTTATTTTTGCAAGTTGCAAAAAATTGCAATGTGTGGCGTGATTTTTTAGCTGTTAAACAAATTAGCTTTTCCTTCATTCGTACGTACCTATGTAAATGATAATTTTTTAGCTTGTATAATGAAACGATAATGAAAAATTGAAAAATTGCGAACTTCAATTTTTGCAAATTTTTGCAAATTGTTTGCAAGATGAAAGTTGTATTTTACATTAGTTAAAATTTGGTTAAATTTAAAGGAACGAAGAATTCAAATTTCCGAAATTTTTCCGATTTTCGCAATTTGCAAAAACTTGGCAAATGCCTGCATCGCTTTTTGCATATTCGTGATCGGGCTGAAATTACGCGGACGGGTACATAAATAATTTTTCAATATTCTATAATGTTCATTTCATCATTCGAAATGCTGGGGGCTATGTTAAAAGCATTGGGAAATGGCAGGTTTTGGTGCGGCTCTCGCCAAATATTTCGCGAAAACGTGATTTTGCACCGCATGTTCTATGACAAAGTTTTAGTTTCATTAAATTATCTATCGATTAAGGCTATTCCGAAGGAAATCGAGATGGGACAGTAGTTGAGGTTCCCTTGTGAGTTATTTAAAAAAATTCACTTGTCCAAAGCATTTAATCTAAAAAAAATTTAAGACTATTTTATTCAAAAAATTTGGAACCAGGATGAATGCTTTAATAGTCTTTTGAAGAATAATGTTTAACTGCTTCGAAACAATTCTGACCTTTCATTTTTGAAATCAGGTTATACTATAAAAGTATTAACATTTGAGAAATTCAGATTTTAGACTAAACATTCACGATATACTTTTAAACTCTGAAGCGACCTTTCCCAAAAGTAAATGAGTAATGACTAACGTGGGAAATACGTTCAATGTCCATGAAGGGCGTTCTCCGAACTTTTGAAGTTCGATCTGTACCCGAACCGTACGTTGTTACGTTACGGTTACGTTTCGGTCATATTAAAAAATTGAAAGTACGGTTAGGCTAAGGTGCTGTGAATCTGAGCTCCACGCCGCCGATTTTTCGCCGGCGCGCCGCCGACGCCGACCCGATTTGACACGCCGCCGCCGCCGAGGAAATTCATCGGCGCGCCTCGGCGCGCCCCCGCCGCATATGTGCCGCCGCGCCGCCGCCGCATATGTGCCGGCGCGAAAGAATCGATAACGTATATGTAAAATATGATATTTTGGACAATACAAATCGAGTACATAAATAGCCTGACTTTTCGAAATTGCTGTTTTTTGAGAATCTTACATTTTGCTTAGTCCTGTGGTTTTTAAAAACTTACAATTAGAAAGATTTCAAGCATTCCATTTTATGAAAAATCAAGCAAACTTTTAAATTTTCGAATTTCTGTCAAGAATCGAGTTACAGTGCTATAAAGGATGATGGTTTTAGTCGAAAAATATTTTTGAAATTCTGTAATGCAGAAAACTCGAATTAACACGGATTAAAAAATGGGTCGGTTTATTTTTTCGCTGAACCAATTAAAATTAGCAAGCGAAATACATTACTATGTATTAGAAAGCTAAATAATGAGGTCAGTTATGATCACTGACTGGTAAACTGAGGCAGAAATATCGGCGCGCCGCCGCCGAGCTCCCAAACGGCGCGCCGCTGCGCGCCGCCACCGCCGCCGGTTTTCACTACTCACGCCGCCGCCGCCGATTTTTCAACGGCGTGGAGCTCTGCTGTGAATGTCTGTGAACGGTGCGGGTTAGCTCTTTCAAATCGGGGTACGTCGAATTAGAAAATTCGGATTTCGACTACTTCGAAATTGTAATTTCATTCAGAAATGAATCCGGACTTTTTAATGTTTAGACTCATGTTTATGTATTTACATATGATGAAAAAATACAAATCGTTGAGAAAAGTGAATTTTTAAAAATTTCTGATTGCTCTGTTAGATATTATTCGTTACTGGTTGTTGCTTTATGATATCCGACAAAACCATATTGACATCGAATACATGCCTTTGTATATTTCAATTGTTTGAATTTCGCCACGGTCACGATTTTAGACCTCCAAACTGTCCTGGGTGAAAAATTCCTGTGGGCGTCAAAAAAATCGTACACGGTCATACGATAGCTCATTTTTTCAATCTCGATTATTATAATTTTATTAGGCTTTCAGAAAAGTTCAATAATATCTAGTGTAAAGGGGCACAAAATTTCGCGTGGGCACGGGCCCACTTGTGCCCACTACTGGCCCCGCCACTGCCTCCCCTCCGCCACGCCCAACTGCACAATTACATCTTATTTAATTTTGTTAAACTCGTAACTTGGAACACGAAATCACTGACGAAACTGATCTTTGCTGTGAAACAGTAGCAGATACATAAGTGAAAGAATTGCATCATGCAATCTGTGTGCAGGGGACCGTTCATGAGTAACTTCATTATTTATGTCGTCAGCAGATATGTAACTCTTCAGTCACTTAGGACACATGCATGTATTTAATTGCCACCATATTTAAAGGACCCAAATGAACTAAATTCATGACGTTCCATTTGAACGGCCCCCTCAACACGGGAGAAGAAAAGTTAGCACTAAAAGCTATTTATATCCGCTCTCGATCTTTTCCGTTTACACGAAGCATACAAAAATTCGGTCGGTTTTGGATCGCTCCGTGCATAAATATACGTAAATACTGTAAGAAATTTTATCACCGGCTGGTGACTACATATTTCACTTTACCAGAATGGTAATCACATGCACACCACGCTCACGGACAGCTTGGTCACTGCATGGAAATAACCCACCACGAGCTCGGTGATACTCAATCACCAGACGGAAGTACATCACCACCAACCCAAACAAACCCCCATCACTAGAGTCATTCTTATCACCTGATTTCTTAGAGTGTAGCATTTCAATCATGCAAGGCGTCATCATCCAGATGCCACACTAACTTTCGATCAACGTACGAAATCGACAATCCATACATGTCAAAAATAACGTTTTACTATTTAAACGCTCAAGTTTTCACATGTCGAAATCATTCTTAAATATATTCCGTTAAACTTCTCAAAAAATATTCAGGGTACTCATTATTTCTTCGTAGCCTTAGTATCGTAAAATAGTTTACGAAGAATATGTACATACATTAACAAGGGGTAAAATTTCATCAACCTCGTAACCTCAGTAACGTGATTTTCAATGACAAAATTGTACCGCAGAACCAAAAATTTGTAAACGGTGCAGCTTAATTTAGGATGCGAAGAATCCTTAAGCAATAATGAATACCCTCATTGAGCAATTGTAAAAAAATCATTGTAGCCTAGAATCACAATCACAATCTAATCTACGATTGTATTTTAAGGTTGAGCAAAAAAAATTGAGACGATCATAATTCTAATCAATTTCTAGCGGCAGATTTGAAATTCTCATACAGTATGCTGGGTAAATGCGTACATTACAATGCTGGTTGGAGAAGGGAGATTTGTAATTCTGTGTTTGACTAAAATTCTGACTAATATTTAATTTTCCCGCTGTGTTTAAATCCTGCGATGTACAATCATCTACTATTGCAGAACATCTCGAGTATAAATATGTAAATAAAATTATCCGACTCTTGACTCCTTCGCGATCGGCTTGCAACGATGATGAACGAGAACCTCCCGCTTACTGAATCTTCCCTCACACTTGGAACAATAGAACGTTTTGTCGGGATGTTCACGCAGAGTGTGCACCACTCTGAGCAGCATATTCCGGCAGGGGACGTCGCAATGAAAGCAAGGGGACGCCGATTGAGCAGTCTACAAAAAAGGACATATTAAAAATCAATCACATATGTGCATGAATTATTTAAGGTTCTCTTGCATTCGGGTTGTGGGATTGAATTTTTGTGTCTCAACTTTCCCTACTTAACTCAATTTAACCTTATTCAAATAACGATTTTGAAACTTTAACCTCCGTGGGTTTTTTACAACCCAGTTATTTTAATGCTGCTTCTCATTGAAGAAAAAAATCAAAATTCTACCCTCGTAACTTTGTAAACCTAAAAATTCTGGATTTTTGGGTGCATCAATATCTTCATATTGCAAAAAACGAAAGGCGATGAAGAAGTTTCAAAATCATTATTTGAATATATGATAGAAGGAAAAGTTGAGACACAACAATTCAAACTCAAAACCCGGATACAATGCCACCTTAAAAAATGCTTGAGTCAAGTAACCTAAAATTTCTTTACCATTTTTGGAGAATCACACCCCTCCAAATGCGTCACCCACTCAACCTCTGAGCCAATCTCGACCCCACAGCCGTACGGACAGGACGTCTTGTCCCGGAAGTGGATCCTCTCCACGTGACAATACAAGCTCCCCGATGAGGAGTAAGTTTTTGAACAGATGTCACACGCCGGACGGGCAAATGTCTTTGTCCCCACGCCCAATGGAATACCGTGGCGTTCCTTCCGGTGTGCGAGCAGCATCATAAAATCGGTGAAAGTTTCCCGGCACAGGGAACATTTCCCTTGGCAGCGAGCCATTTTCTTATGAGAACGAGAATGCCCGACTAACCCAGTTTTCGAACCAAATCGTTTGTCACATTGGGGGCACGAATATTCGCCTTCGGGTCGGTCGACGAGTCTGCGAATATTTTATACAATACAATTTTACAATACAGGTTTGATCTGGTTATTGACTTAAAATTCAAACTCACCGTTTCTTAACATCATCTGAAGTTTCTGTGGCTAAAAATAGGAAATCGCTTTTAGTTAATATGCAGTTACGTATATAGCTTGGTTTAAACAAAGGTGATCATTCCAACGCCAACATTTAACGTGCCATTGTATGCGGGCTTTGGGTTCGAATTTGTGTCTCAATTTTCCTTTGTTCGATGTATTCTATACTGATTTTTAAACTTATTCATATCCGTGCCCATTCTACGAAATGAAGTTTTTACATATTACATCTAAAAATCAATAATTTCTACCTTACAAAGTTACGAGGTTAGAATTTATTTTCTCCGGTGAGAGAAAATCGAATCGACGAAAAAAGCTACTAAAAATTAAATATTTTCTCAGAAATAGAAAAATCCAAACTCTCACTTCGTAACTTTGCAAACTTAAAATTACCGATTTTTAGATGTAATAAAACCTTTATTTAAAAAAATGTGCGGAGATGAATAAAATTTGAAAATCGTCATTTGCATATGTATAAAGAACCAAGGAAAAGCACAAAATTACCCGCCAAAACCCCAACAAAATCCCACCTTAAACACGAAACCTTTTGTTCATATGTATGTAGCACCTGATCAATCTATTTTCACAATTTCCTAATTAGCTAGTTAGCCACATTTTGTACGCTTACCGGAATCATCGGCCTGATTATGCATGTTTCTCATGTGGCGTCGGAGATTGCTCGGTCTGTTAAACGGATTTGCACATATTTTGCACGAAAACTTGGATGCTGGGAGGCCACCGACCAAATTTATACCGTTTTGTGACTCGTCTGAAATATAGGGAGGATCACGCATTAATTTGTTATAGGGGCCGTTCATAAATTTTGTAACACGAGATGGGAGTCTTAAAAATGGCGATTTTTCCGTTACAAAATTTACGAACGGCCCCACATTCACATATGTTTTAAATGATTTTTGTAATAAAACGCACCCCAAATTTCAGCGGGGACGACATTCCTCATGCCTTTGCTACGCGTGACGACAAAAGGTTGAGACATTTTGAGCCCGAATTTTGATTCAGGGTCGACAACGGGTTCCGAGCTCGTAGCTGCATCCATTTCGTCCTGGATTTCTGAAATTTCGGGGATTTCATCCGGGATTTCGGCCTTATTTTCGGATATTTCGGGAATTTCGATCTGCATCTGGTCCTCCTCGAGTGGTTCAACTTTTACGGTAAATTGCCCTCTTTTACGACATCCAGCTAATTGTTGGTCTTCATTCTTTAGCAATATTGCACCATCTCCATTAGCCAATTCTTCATACATAAATAAATACTTATTTTAATTGTAATTAATTTAACTTTTACATGATTAGTTAAGTATTTATATTAATATTTTCCTTACCACTAATTTTGTATCCTTTCCCCAGCTTGTTTAACACTCCATTCCCCCCGGAGATGACGGCACGCAGGGAAATGGTCACATTTTCAATAGTTTTAGACAACTTGGCCAACGAGAGGATCGCGGAGGAGCAAATTTTGCAACAAAATATTTGCGGATATTCGCCTGTTTGAAAAATGAGAGAAACTTGTTCCCGAGTTAGGACGAATTTGACAAGAAGTTCCATTTCCTGGAGGGCGAGGCGACTCAGATTCGACGATCCGGAGCAGATTGAACAGCACGAAGGGGGAAATTCTGGGGATGATTTCTTATTCCCGTCATCAATTTCACGAGGAACGTGGTTCTCCTGTCGGGGGACAAAATTTGACCTCGAGTGAAACCGTGGAGGAAAGTAGATCTTGCAAAATGTGTCCTGTCCCATTTTTCCTGCTGGTGGAAATCCCCTTTCCTGCCGACATTTTACCTGCAAAAAGTATTTATAGTACTTTTACATTTTAGAATTAAATTTTGAAATGAAACTCTAAATTTATGTATTACATGTTTAAATTTATTTGTAAAACGTACTGCGTTTGACGAGTGATCTAAAGATTGTGAAAATTAATTATTTGAATTGAGTAAATTTGAATTATGTAAGGCAAACAGGGGAAAAATCAAGTTACCTGGTTGCTAATTAAGTTTCCTTTGTTTTGCTTTTGTCAGCTGCTGATTTGACTGGGTTTTGAGTCGCCCGCCGCCTGAACCAAGGGGAATGTGACACAATAATGAATCATACATTCTCTCATAATTAGATTAAGAATTCAAAATGCATTCATTCAAATAATCGTTCGAAACGAATAGCAAAAATTAAAAAATAATTAAAATCAACCAATCAACCAAATTAATTAATTTATAAAAAAGAGCATTAAAAAATGCAATACATTTATACACAAGAAACGAACCTTTACTAAAATTTGAATTCTACAAACTGCTTACATACTGTTTACGGAAGTTTATTAAAATTCGCAAATCATTAGAAAAATCTGCTTTTCAGATCAAGACCTGTACCAGAGGGTAAAGCCGGTGAATTTGGGGGCGCCGGAGGCGGAAATTTTGAATCAGCGTTGGCTTAGCTGGATAAGCTCCCTCTGGTGTGTGTTGAAATAGGAAATCAGATTTACTGGCGGGGCGGCGTGTGTAGAATACTACCGGTGGCGCGGTGTTCTACGGTCCGCGGCGATTGCCTAGAAAAATGAACTTTACTAAAATAATGTACTTGTTTATTAATCAAGGCAAGCTTGAATTATTAAGGGGCGAAAACCCCTTTATGGAAATGTCTGGTCTGTCCGTCTGTCCGTATCCACGATAACTTTAGTACGGATTCGAATTTCAACATCTGGTATTCGGCAACGTGTTTCTAATTTTTGGGGACGGGATAAGTTCGAAGATGGGCGTTGTAGGTCATAAGGTGACGACGCCACGGTGATGACGCCAACGGTCAAAGGTGTCGAATTTTTTGTTTCCGCCGTTTTAGACGTAGTTTTTGGCGGGGATTTCAGAAATCGCCATCATTTCGACGCAAGACGACCCCATCACCGTGTGGGAGGTGTCGAATATTGAAAAAATTACTTGTCCTGTGGGGTGTCTATTGAGAGGTATCGTCGTGTACATTCGAAGTACGAGAGTGGAGTGTCAAAACGGGGCAAAATGAGACGTGGAGTGATATGGGGCAATGCCAGGAAAGTTCTGAAAGACGTTGTGGGCGTGCCACAAAGACAGTTCCGTCTGTTTTCACCCCTTCGCTACATTTCGTTTGCAACAGTTTATTTTAAACTAACAAGACAAATAATTTACTAAAACATCCTAGCACAGTAAATTAATTTATGTACATATGTATCTGTATCTGTATGTCTGTATATATTAAACCTGGCATCTTTAAGATTGTGCTCGCATACCATTTCGACTAATTCATATAATAACAGTAAAATTAGTAATTTTTTATCCATCCAGGCAATATAAGGACACTGCCTTGCCTTGACTTACGGCTACTGCATGCGTAATCCAATTACTAATTATTTACAATTAATTTAGGGTGACCATATTTGTCCTGACTAAAACCGGGACATTTTTTGGCCAAAAAATTTCGCCATAATATCTAGTGCTTGGCGAAAAATTTTGCCATAATATCTAGTGCTTGGCGAAAAATTTTGCCATAATATCTAGTGCTTGGCGAAAAATTTTGCCATAATACACAGTTAAAAATTTTGCATTGATGTGAGGTAAAAAATAACTTCAAACGGAGTAATAAGTGCAGTGATGCTACATAGAGTATATTGAGGGAAAAATATCATGGGGTAATCCGTTTTACTCTACCTTGCACTCGGTGTGCATCATATAGTGTTAGTTGCATTACCCCTTATAAGCCACATTTCGTACCCCACATGAATCAAAAGCATCTGGATAGTTTATGTAGTATAATATTTTTTATCTCATATCATGGCGCAGAGTAACTATATGAAGTTAATAAATTACATATATAGAGTATCGGTTATCTTTTGCATTTATTGTACTTGCATACGTCAATTCATCATAAAAATTACAATTCATATTAATAATATTATTTAGCTAATTATCTAACACTATTATGTATAGGTTCTAAGCAATTATTGTCTCCTATCCGAGGAAGAAGTTCACGTACGAGCGAATTATCCAGGTTAAATAGTGTATCGTAACAAATATTGTTTTCTACATAAAAATACAAGTAATGTTTTAGATATTTGATAAATTGCAAAACTGTTTAAAAAGGATACAAACCGAAAAATAAGTAAGAAAGTAATACCTTCAAATGTTTGAATCCAGTTACGTTAGAAGTCGCTTGACCTCCGCAGTGTCCATCTCCATCTGACAATTCTGCACAAATCCATGTTTTAATTGTAATTAAGTAAATTTTGCAAGATTAATCGAATAGATTATTTACCACTAAGTGTGTACCCTTTCCCCAGCTTGTTTAACACTCCATTCCCCCCGGAGATGACGGCACGCAGGGAAATGGTCACATTTTCAATAGTTTTAGACAACTTGGCCAACGAGAGGATCGCGGAGGAGCAAATTTTGCAACAAAATATTTGCGGATATTCGCCTGTTTGAAAAATGAGAGAAACTTGTTCCCGAGTTAGGACGAATTTGACAAGAAGTTCCATTTCGTGGAGAGCGAGGCGATTCAGATTCGTCGATCCGGAACAGATCGAACAGCACGACGAGGGAAATTCTGGGGATGATTTCTGAATTTCTGGGGGATCATCCTGTCGGGAGAGAAAATTTGACCTCTCGAGTGAAACCGTGGAGGAAAGTAGATCTTGCAAAATGTGTCCTGTCCCATTTTTCCTACAGTTGGAAATCCCGTACATTTTATGTACCTGCAAAAAGTTGAGTGCTTTTAGAATTAAATTTTGAAACGTAACTCTAAAATTATGTATTATTTCACACATTTGTTTAAATACCTCCAATTTATACACGCACTGCGTTACTTGAGTGATCTGAAGATTGTGAAAATCAATTATTACTATTCAAATTGACTAAATTTTAATTATTTGAGGCAAAAAGAGGAAAAATCAATTTACCTGGGGGGGAATTCAATTGTGACATGCGTAAGCATAGATTTTGCTTACGCATTGCTGAGCATAGATTTTGCTCAGCAAAAAACGCGATTCAATAGATAAGCATGCGGAAGTTCAAAATTTGCGTATCTCTTGTCTTTTGCTTAGCACTGCGCAAGTTTTTCCACCACAAAACAGTGTCAGCTGGCAAAACTTATCAGAACAGTTATCTAGGTCGGAGTTTGCTTATGTAGCTAATTGTCACAACAAAATAATATTTATGTGGTATGGATTCGAAAAGTTCAGTTAAGATGGAATTAGTTGACACAAATGGAAAGAGTAAGAAATTATAATTATAAATATCTATTTTGGGAATGTTCAGAAAACACGAAACGCAAAATTAGTCATTTTTTTACACATCCCTCGTAGAGGGATATAGTCCATTTTTACACCCCATTTTTTTAACTGATCAAGGGGACCAGTAACACAACAGCCTAACCCCTCCCCTGCTTTGCGTTACGTATTTTATGAGCTTTCCCTCTAATAAAAATAGGTCAATTAATAAATACTTTGTAGGACGCCCAAACTTTTCCACTAAGGAATGTGAGGCTTTGGTCGACACCGTTGGACTTCACTACGATGCACTCTTTGGAAGATTTAGTTCAACCTTGACCAACAATCGGAAAAATGAGCTATGGGATGATGTCACCGAAAAAGTTAATGCTGTCTCTTCCGTTAACATTCCTAGAAGCGTAGCCGAGGTGAAAAAGAAGTATCAAGTTTTGAAAAGTAGCGTGAAAAAAATCGAGACCAACAATTCGAATGAAATGAAAAAAACTGGAGGAGGGTCTGCGATTCTACAACCCCAAAATACCGTAGGAGAGAAAATTTTGGCACTTGTTCCACGGGTCGAAATTTCAGGAATTGAGGGTGGAATCGACATTAGTAAAAGTTAGTACGCTTAATTCAATTCCCGTCAGTCAAGCACAATTTTTAAACTCTTTCTTAAAATATTTAGTGTCGACCGTTGATACTGCGCCATTAAACTTGATCTCGGTAACGGGCCTCATCCCAATTGGAGACACGGGCTCAAGAACAAACAAACCGGCTGATGCTTCGGAAGAAAATGCTCCACATTTTTTCAAGAAACAAACGAAACGTCCTCTGGAAACTACTCTTTTCGCATTACAAGCTAAACAAGTTAAATTATTGGAGACTCAAACAATGCAACTGGCACAAATAGTTGATTTATTGGCGGAGCGAAACTCAATTGAAAAGGAGAAGCTACAAATTATGAAAAATAATTAATCCTCATCATTCATTTCTCTAATTATTTGATTATAAATATCTTCATCTTCGTTCAGTAATGCGATATTAGTCGTATGACAAAAGTTGTGAAGCGTGATTGTTGAAATAATTAGGCGACAAACTTTTGTTGGAGTATAGCAAAGTTCTCCCCCGGTCCTGTTAAAATGTTAATCAGCGATACACTAATTTTTAAAGGTTTAATAAATCGTTTAATTACCTGTGCATGGATCTAAACCTACTTTTCCATCGTCCAATTGTGCATTCAATGGCACATCGAACGGACGTTAACCTTTTATTGTAATCGTTCTGAAAAGGAGTAATAATTCCCCTAGCATAAGGAACCTCCATAAACGGAGAACGAGAATATCCTGAGTCACCTAAATAGATACAAAATAAATACATTAAATTAAAATTCCACTTTACTTCTTAGCTATTACCTACCTATTAATTTTCCATTCCCAAATTCTCCTGTCAAAAATCGGTGATGAATGTGAGAATTTCGGAACACAAACGAGTCATGTGCGCCACCCGGATTACTTGCCACGGCGTCAATGAATCGGAATTGGTCGTCGCAAATAATTTGGACATTGATTGAGTGGTTTTGTTTTCTATTCACGAATGACCTTTCGTCTTGACTTGGCGAAATTATATTCACATGTGACCCATCGATAATTCCTATTATATTTGGAAATCTACTCTTGGCATGAAAGGCTGTAGAAATTCTTTTCTGTTCAGCTGCATCGGGAAAAGATACGATTTTTGGCGACTCCGTAACAAGAACTCGGCTGACCTAAAATAAAATCGTAGAGAGCGATTGTAATCTTACAACATAATATAAGCGTGTGTTAATATTACTTAATATTAAAACTTTTACCTGCTCTATAATTCTTGACGCGGTTGGTTGGGATAATCCACAATCTGACCCCATTAACCATTGAAAACCTCCTGATCGAAAGAACCCCAGTGTCGTAAGAACTTTAGATTCCGCCGTCACAGCATGATTTGTAAATTGTTTCGGTTCCACATGTGGTTCTAACCACCCCAAAATCTCTCTAGCTCCCCACCATGGCAAGCCAGTGTGCTTTCTAATTTCAAATTCGGAGAGGCTCTCAAGTAACTTTCTTTGGGGATAGCGTCGATTACGTTCATTCCTCAAAACAAACAATGGCACCGACATGTTTCTTTAACCCTTTAAGAAGTATAATTAACTACAAGAAAGTATTTATTTGGGGACGTTATAAATATGTTGTGGCGACAGTGCGGGAGGAGGAAAGTGATTCACTGAAGTATTGATAAATATTAACTTTGGGCAAGGAAATGTTCAAATTAACATTTGGTTAAGAAAAGAGAAATCCCTCAAAGTTACAACAGATTTTACGCCGCGGAGAGAAAATCATGAAAATCAATGACCTCCTAGAAACGACCACAATTTTGCAGGACGGCTTTAATTTTTCTCTCGAGTTAAACCATCTCTTATTAAATGACGACAATTATCGTTTCAAATCAAAGGGTTAAAATGATAAGGCAGACAGGTACATACATTGGCTATGGAAGTTATTTAAGCAAGAGATAATACTGCTCCCGAGTACTTTAAAAATACGCAAGGTTTAAGAATTATATTTCTAATTGAATAAGATTTTTGGCGTAAGTGTATGAGTAAGCAAATTCCTAAATTCGGATTAATTGAATCCAAATTTTCCATTGCTTAGCAAAATCTATGCTTACGCAATGCTTATCTTCGAATTGAATTCCCCCCCTGGTTGTTAAGTAAATTTCCTTCCTTTGCTGCTGATTTGACTTGATTTTGTTTTTGTAGCCAGGGTCGCCCGCCTGAACCACGGGGAATGTGATACACTAATGAATTGGGCATTTTCTCATCGTTCGAAAAGAATAGCAAAAATTAAAACATAATTAAAATCGATTAATCAAGTAAATTAATCATTTAATAAAAACCGGCATTAGAAATGTAATAATTTTTTTTACATACACAAGAAAATAATCTCACTTTCTGGTTCGTAAACCAGAGGTCAAACCCGGTCAATTTGGGGGAGGGGGCGTTGGCATACCAGGGTAAGCGCCCCAATGTTGTATGCAGGAATAGGAACTCACAATGGAACCTTTTTTCAAGCTACACCGGGATCGACTAGCGAGTTATGTCAAAAAAGTAAGCCGAAAATTTAATTTTCGACTCCTAATAGGAGTCACTTGACACTTATCTTTCCGTTGAATGGCCCCTTTGAAGAAGAAAATTGGAGGTCAAAGTTCACACAAGCGCCTTAGTTTTCGCCCCGTGGAGGAAAACGCAAGGGAAAATTTACTCAAAAATTGAACTTAACCGCCAATAGTTTTCTTCAAAGGGGCCATTCAACGGAAAGAGAAGTGTCACGTGACTCCTAATTTTTGGCTTGATTTTTTGACACAACTCGCTAATCGATCTCGGTGAAGCTTGAAAAAAGGCATTGTCAGATTTAATGGCGAGGGCGGTGTGAGTAAATTGCCCACAACAGTTGTATTGAGATTAAGCAACCAGTTGTGAGAATCAAAATGACGCTGCCCGGCAACGTCAAATTTCTCATGCCCAGTCACAACTCAGCTTTGGGTGCTATGCAAAATAAATTATGCAAATCAACTAGGGCCCGATAACAAATATTCATTACCAACTGAACGAATGATTTATTTTATTATTTATTCGTTGAAGATATCTATAATTCTCTTTTGTAACCAATTAAACCAGCATATGTACATATATATTTATAAGGTACATATTTATGTATACCAATATACGTACATACAACTATTGCGGTGCATCGAAGTCAACCGGATGGATTTGATTTGAATTTCGGTCCGCCTCCAATGTTAATCAAATGGGCACGTGATTTTGGCGCGTAGAACTCCTGTCCGGTTGACTTCGATCCACCGCAATATTACAAAATTTTGTATCCATATCATAATTGTGAAAATAGAAAAATGGTGCCGTGAAGAACTATGTATATATAATACAGTACCATTCGTATGTCAAATTAATACGATTGGGTGCGGAACCATTTGGACAACGGTCAAGAACAAAAGGTCCATTATTTTGTTTAAACTCCACGGCTCGGAAATACATGACTCTATTAATCCACATGAACAATTTAACAATTGTGTATCCATAGCCTAATCCATTTAAAATTACGTTATATACATATATGTATACATAGCTTATATACTTAAGGATACATTAGAAATTTTATCAACCAATTATTGCACGTAGAATTCTTTCGAGTAATTTCTGGATCTTATGCCGGATGATACACGGGATATGTTTTTCTTTAATTAAATTACGCACTTATTCGTACAACGATAAGTAAGTATGTTAAAAATATGGAATAATTCAGCTACGCTGAACATGCATTTAAAGATGCTACAAGTATTTAAACCGAAATTTACAATTGTACCAAATGTGCATACGGTAATGCATTTAAACTGCATTAACTTATGTATCAGCAGAATCAGCCACAGCCGTGTTTAATTTAACTAATATTAAGACCCAACTCGGTATGATTTTAGTTTGTCACCAAATAATAACATCGATAATGTCCAATTACTAGCCAGTGAACCAGTTAAGAATGGTTACTATGCTCTAATTAATTATTAGCTAACTCCAAAATTAGTCTGCAAACCCGTGCAGAAACGCTGCTAGAACCTTCCAGTCCATGGCGATTCCGTTCATGAAAATACAAGATTGCCGTTACCAAAACTATTTTCACAAGACGAAAATCGATCAGTCATGTCGTATTCTTAACAAGGTTAAGACTATAAATAGTCAAGTCTCTTAATGTCATCACAGAAATCGCAACATGTGACTGGTACAACTGTGAGATTATCGAGATCCGAGATTTTGGTCTAAAAACACAGATTATTTTGAGCCTGTGGGTATTGTGGTATGCACACTCTAAATAAAAATGAGTAAAATTTACCCAAGGTTGGGTAAAAAAGAGGATGACACAACTAGAAGGTAAAATTTGTCCAACGTTGTGCAAAATTTATCCAAAGTTGTGCAAAATTTGCCCAACCTTGAGTAAATTTTACTCATTTTTATTTAGAGTGCAGGAAAGCAATTATAGCGTATTTAGTTTAATCACGTCTATTACACAAAGACGGACAAACTTGTCTAAAGTACGGGTAACTTGTAGGCACACTCCGCTATGAGAATATTGCAATCATAGCTCGAACTTCGTCGAGATGGTCAATCCTTCAAAACTTTACTTGAAGCCGGAATTGTGAACGAAGCAGCAAACAGGAATTTGATCTGAGCCACAATATTTGATTATGGATGAAGTTAAACGTTTTCATTAAATCATACTTACGACTAATTTAACTCTTGCATATTTATGTGACTCTTACAGCTTTTGGAGTTCGCCTACTTAAACTTTTGTTTAATGGTGGCAGAAAAGAAGTAGGGAAGCCATTTGGCGGATTATCAGTGATATTTGTGGGAGACCTGAGCACATATTGGAATACTTAAGGTAAACTAAAAGAAAAGGTCTTGCATATTGTCTGGAACGTTCTGAATTACAGGTCAATTGGACGCAGTCTGCGACGTAATTTCTTCCTGTGCCTAGCAAAAACCCACCACTGGCAAAGTCTTTCATACTGACCCCGTTCTACGTTCTGGGCTCCATGTTCACTATTTGTGCATTCTTGATGCGTTACAGTATGAATATGGGTAAATAGGTTTCAGTTCAGTGTTTTTACGAAGTCACTTTACATTTTAGATATCGTATTGTATTTTTGTGTTCCATTATTCCGCCCAAATTACGAAATGGGTAAGCATGACGTAATCATAACATAACGAGGTAGAAGTATGCACACGCCAGAGATGTGTCATTTGCAGATATGTAAAGATAAAACGGGAATTACGCAATTACCCTGATAAAAAGACCAACACCGAGAAAGAAAATTTATCCGAGAGGAGTTCGAGGAGCGAACAGCGACTACAGAAGTTAGGCCTTTTCTAGTATGTAATCTAGTATGTAGACTAGAAACAAGTAGCTTTAGTTAGAAATGAGTGAACGAATGTGAACTTGAATGGAATAAATAACTATCTAAAACAGTTACCAAGTGTGTAAAGGAACTATTATTTAACTCCACACAGCCGTAACATTTTGGTTTTTTCGTATCTGCGACACCCTGTCCAGTAGGTATATATTTGCAACAAGATAAAATACCCACGGGCAGGTGGTACATATCATATAATAGTTATTTTGATTTAATACCTCATTTATCGATACACTGATAAATAAGCATTCTCATCTTTTGAAAGGACCCAAAGATTAGCCAAGAAAAATCAATTCAATATTTACGATGTAAATATGACTGACTACATCAATATACATACTTTGCATTAAAATTTTAAGCAAAATGTATATGGTACATAATTTTCCAAGAGAAATAGGAGTTATGTAGTGAAATTGCAAGTGTACAAGTGTACCAAGTTCCTTGGTAATCATGATAATTCTTCTACGTTAATAAGATTTTGATGTTATTTTTAGGAATTTTCTTAAAACTACTAACTATAATTAGGGTATTCTCAGCTTTTTAAATAACCTCATTCTCACAAACGATTTGCCACGAATTACTGATAAAGCTATTTTATAGAAAGTATTGTTTTATGTGTAGAAAGCTTTTTGAATAATTAGAAGAGCTTCTAACAATGGAGGCGCAAACCATGTTCAGCACAGATAATTTTTTGACCATGTTAGTTTAAAAGAGCAAGTCTTTAGAAACAACATTTGGCTTGGCACTTGGGCAGATGCGCAAATTTCAGCACGTTATGGGCGCCGCAAGTTCGCAAAAACGCACGATTTTTCGGGCAATGCCCAGCGCGAGCTCAACTTCGTGCGTTTTTGCGAACTTGCGGCGCCCATAATGTGCTGAAATTTGCGCGTCTGCCCAAGTGCCGAACCAAATGTTGTTTCTAAAGACTTGCTCTTTCAAACTAACAAGGTCAAAAAATTATCTGCGCTGAACATGGTTTGCGCCTCCATTGTAAGTTCGTGTCTGAACGTTCGATGGAAATTCTTTGGCTTGAAGTTTGCCTTAAAAATGTGGAATCTTTCGTGTCTTGCAAACATTTTTACAAAAATTTTGCAATGCTAAATATATTCTTAATTAGAAATCTATGCCTGCCGAAGTACCAATTTTGATTATTTCACCCCACAAATTTTCGTCACCGCTCAAATTTAGTATTTAAAATTAAAACGTACATTGTATTGTACGAAAAATTGTCATATATTTGTCTAAATACGGCTATTTTTTTCACCAGCAGTGTGCACCCTTAGATATTACGTTAAATTGACCTTATATTTGTTAGTAAATGGGAATGACCTTAACATTCTGGTGTTGCAAAGATGTTTTCAGATGAGAAGTTCCTTTTGTTGGTGGACCGGATGTACTGATTTTCTCTGAAGGTTGAAGGTATCTCGAAGCCTGTTAAGAAAATAGTAAGATAGTGAACATACGCTAAAACAGGTTATAAAGGGTGTCGTTTTAATTCGTCGCGATCACTTTTTTTGTGAATGTTTCATAAATTTATTCAAATTAGCACCCAGCCAAAGGACAAGAATTAAGGGAATGCTTAGTATACATTGGTAAAAGATGAACAATGCGATGGCGTCAAGTGTAACCCTCCGATTTAGTTTAAATTGTGAAATTATGTGGTCCATCTTGGACCATCGCATTGTATGTAAGTATCTCTGATTTAAAAATTGACCACAAAGTATCACCATTTTTGACATATAAGTTTTCGAATATTGACAAGAGAAATTGCGGCGAATTAAATCCACGCCCTTTATATCCAAAAAATTATAAAATATAAATTTATAACATATAAACATACTTGAAAAATAGCGACATCCATTAAAACGATGGAACCCTTGACAGCACAAAATCAATTTCTGGAAATGACTTGTCTCTATAATCAATTACACTTGGTTAATAATTATGGCATGGAAATGCAAAATATTACGTAATGGCGACATTTTTTGATGAGACCAATGAGCATAATTTACTTGCTATTATTTTCTTTATTAAATCTTAGTATAAGGTGTATCGCAGAGTATGTGTAAAAAAAATATGTATCACAAAAAGTATCGAAAAATCTGACTACTCAGCAGTCGCACAAATAAGTCCCTAAACTAAGCATAATTTATGTATTTACATACCTACGTACATTATGGCGTCCAGTCCACCAGATACCAAAAAAATCCCATTTTCAAGATCCCTGACTCCTCTTTCGTTAAACACAAAAGTATGTACAGACTATTTGTCTCCAAAATATTTAGAGTGCACATTTTTTTCAACAATGTTCTCATAGAAACTTTCTATTAGAAAGTATATAAATAGACACTTACAATTCCCAATTCATCAAACCAATTAATGAGCGAGGTGGGCAGCCCCTGAGAATTTCGACGTGACCGCAACCTACAAAAAATTGGTGAATATGTAAATTGACTTAAATTGTCCATTTCACAATGACTTGAGCACTACGGCAAAAATTACGTAACTTTCCCCTGGGATACTTAAAGGCTATCTAGTTTGGGATTTTATCTGCAAACTTTTCCGCCAGCAAGTAAAATTTGAATACTTAATATCATGAATAACGTACCGTTAGTTTTATGAGTAGGACCCCATAAAATCAAAACTTGTATATCACCCCACCCCCACTTTAAAAAATTCAATTACATTTTATTACAAATTTTTCAAATTTAATCAAAGCTCACTGATGAAGATGAAGATGAACTTGCACACGATGTTGTGACGTATATCGGATAAATGGATGGTTCTGAGTGAATGCTGTGCCAAGGGGCTATTCATTAATAACTTGATTATTTATCTCGCTTCTGAACAAGATGCCTTTAACTCACCAGAATGTACATATGTACTTAAGGCCCATGTAATTGACAACACATGTGGGCCCCTAAAGTCGTAACGTTTCATTTGATCGGCCCCCTCCACGCATAGGAAGCAAAGTTTACACAAACAGACCGAGTTATTTATATCTGCTCCAGATTTTCTCACTCTTCTTTTTTCCTCTAAATATTTAGAAATGTGTTCATGCTTGGATCGCTGTATAAATAAATAAATAAAAATCCGCACGAAACACCGTTCACGCAAGGCATCATCATCTGTATGTCTTGGACGATTTCAATGCGAAAAAATCGACAATTCGCACATACCCAAAATAATACCACATTTCAAACATAAGTATTTTGAGATGGGAATTTTAAACATTTCAAAAAATTAAATTTCCATAGCCAAAAAATTTACGTATGTACATAATTCTCAATGTTCATAACCAAGGAAATATGTAGGTTTTGATCCCCGGTATATGTGAATTTGAACCGCTTTCCTGCAGAAATTTTGCGGAGCTAAGCATACTCATGTATTCTTAGCCCATAGCTACATAAATTAAAAATTTGGTTGCATTCATGAATTTGAAGGACAAAGCGTCTCCTCGAATTTATGTAGGTCATCCAATAGATAATTAGCTAATTGCATATAGGTACTTATTTATGTTGATGCGATGCATATCATGCATTTACACTCTAAGCAACCTGGTATTCAATTTTCACCGACCGGAGTGCATACATGACTTCACCAGCACGTAATACCGGGCATTTCCGTGTAGAAATGGAGTGTTTATACAATAATTAATATACATAGCAATAAAAACTTGCCAATCTCAATGGAACCTTTTTTAAGCTACACCGGGATTGTGTTCTTAAACTACGTCACGCTTGGAGGGTGTTCAGGCCCCAATGATGTGTACTCCATTTTAAAGGGGGACGGGTGGAGAAAATCAATTTTTAGCGTTACGTAATTTAAGAACGCCCCCTCTTAACGAAGGGTCAATTTTTTAAATGACCAAAATAGGATACTTAACCCTCAGTACGATCAAAACCGTTGGCCCTCAGTTTTGATGACGTCATATGGACGACCCCTAAAACCAGCAGCGTCGAAATGCACATAAAAAATAAACCCAAAACTAAAAACAAGTCTCAAATTTACCACAGAATATTATTCTCTCTCAAATTAATGAAAGATTGTCAAAAATATATGAAATAAAAACAATCCTTCCCCATCTTCCCCTTCTGCTGGCAACAATGAACTGCGAGGACATCCCGCCGTGTGAATCTTCCCCCACAAAAAAAAAACCGATTGCACGCCGATTGGACAGTCTACAAAAAATGAAACATTAAAAATTAATCACTTCGACGCCACGTGATTCCAAATTTTTGGCTCGATTTTTTCATATAACTCCATACACAATCGGGTTTTAGCAAGAAAAAAAGTTTCTATTCTTAATTTGTTTTTACCATTTTTGGTGAGTTGCACCCCTCCAAATGCGTCACCCATTCGACTTCCGAGCCAATCTCGACCCGACAACCGTACGGACAGGACGTCTTGTCCGGGAAATGGATCAGCTCCACGTGACGACGCAGGGTTATCGATGAGACGTAAGTTTTTGAACATATGTCGCACGTAGAACGGGCAAATGTCGTTGCGCATGCGCGGTATGTAATGCCATGACGGTGATTCCGGTATTTGAGCAGCGTATTAAAATTGGCGAAAGTTTCGTGCGAAAATTTCGGTCCGGTGCGAGTCGTCCTTTTGTTATGAACGGAACGCGAATGCCCGGCTAAGGCAGCTTTCGAACCGAATCGCTTGTCACATTGGGGGCACGGATATTCGCGTTCGGATCGGTCGGCGAGTCTGTGAATAGTTTAGAAATATAAGAAAATATAAAATGTTGGGAATGTTTCGGGAATTTTAAGTTGTAGGATATGTGTGGAATTTTTTGTCAAGCATGCACGAGAGAATAATTTATGAAGGTCTTTCACCGCAACGTTTGTAAATTTACGAATACTTTATCTACGAATCAAGAGTTCGATACGAAGGGCGTGAAAAAATCTATCTTTATTGAATTGAAATTCAAACTCACCGTTTCTTATCATCATTTGAGCTTTCTTCTGATGCTAGAAAATGAAATCAGTTGAAGTTAGTATGCAATTTTAGTATAGTTTTTTTTAAGGTGAAAATGGTCATCATTCAAACTTTAAGGTGTTATTGTATGCAGGTTTTTAATTTCACAAGTACATACATGAAAAAATTGGAATAAAATAGACGAAAAAACTCACAGATTGCCAAATAGGTTCTGGTGGAAGAGTAAACTTTGTAAACATAAAAGTTATCGGATTTTTGAACGCAATAAAACTATCATTTAAAGAAACGCACGTAAATTTCCAGGTTTTGAACAAATTCAAATTCGAAACTCGCATACAATGACACCTTAATAAATACGAAGACATTCGCCCCGATGTTTGTAGAACCTGATCGAATTTGTAGACTTACTTGAGTGATCAACCTGATTATGTTTGTTTCTCATGTGGCGTCGGAGATTGCACAGTCTGTAGAACGTTTTTGCACATATTTTGCATACAGGCTTCAATGCTTCAAGGCCACTGAGCAAATTTGCATCATTTTCTGATACGTCTGAAATATTGAGAGCATCACACATTAATTTGTCATAGGCGCCGTTCATAAATCATGTAACGCAAGAGGGGATTTTAAAAAAATCACGCTTTTTTCGTTACATAATTTATTAACGGCCCCACATCCGCGTTTTTTATGAATTTTGCAAAAAACGCACCACGAAACCCGGCGGTGACAACCTTCTTGCTCCGCGTGACGATGAACGGTTGACATATTTCGGCTCCAAATTTTGAGTCATGTCCGAAAACAGATTCCGAACCTGCATCAAAGTCCGAACATGAATTTTCCGGTATTTCGGGGATTTCAACCTGCATCTCGTCCTCCTCTGGCTCCATTTTCACGGTGAATCTCCCCTTTGGACGGCATCCAGGTAATCGTTGGTCTGCATTCTTTTGCAAGGTGGCATCTCCATCTGACAATTCTGCACAAATCCATGTTTTAATTGTAATTAAGTAAATTTTGCAAGATTAATCGAATAGATTATTTACCACTAAGTGTGTACCCTTTCCCCAGCTTGTTTAACACTCCATTCCCCCCGGAGATGACGGCACGCAGGGAAATGGTCACATTTTCAATAGTTTTAGACAACTTGGCCAACGAGAGGATCGCGGAGGAGCAAATTTTGCAACAAAATATTTGCGGATATTCGCCTGTTTGAAAAATGAGAGAAACTTGTTCCCGAGTTAGGACGAATTTGACAAGAAGTTCCATTTCCTGGAGGGCGAGGCGACTCAGATTCGACGATCCGGAGCAGATTGAACAGCACGAAGGGGGAAATTCTGGGGATGATTTCTTATTCCCGTCATCAATTTCACGAGGAACGTGGTTCTCCTGTCGGGGGACAAAATTTGACCTCGAGTGAAACCGTGGAGGAAAGTAGATCTTGCAAAATGTGTCCTGTCCCATTTTTCCTGCTGGTGGAAATCCCCTTTCCTGCCGACATTTTACCTGCAAAAAGTATTTATAGTACTTTTACATTTTAGAATTAAATTTTGAAATGAAACTCTAAATTTATGTATTACATGTTTAAATTTATTTGTAAAACGTACTGCGTTTGACGAGTGATCTAAAGATTGTGAAAATTAATTATTTGAATTGAGTAAATTTGAATTATGTAAGGCAAACAGGGGAAAAATCAAGTTACCTGGTTGCTAATTAAGTTTCCTTTGTTTTGCTTTTGTCAGCTGCTGATTTGACTGGGTTTTGAGTCGCCCGCCGCCTGAACCAAGGGGAATGTGACACAATAATGAATCATACATTCTCTCATAATTAGATTAAGAATTCAAAATGCATTCATTCAAATAATCGTTCGAAACGAATAGCAAAAATTAAAAAATAATTAAAATCAACCAATCAACCAAATTAATTAATTTATAAAAAAGAGCATTAAAAAATGCAATACATTTATACACAAGAAACGAACCTTTACTAAAATTTGAATTCTACAAACTGCTTACATACTGTTTACGGAAGTTTATTAAAATTCGCAAATCATTAGAAAAATCTGCTTTTCAGATCAAGACCTGTACCAGAGGGTAAAGCCGGTGAATTTGGGGGCGCCGGAGGCGGAAATTTTGAATCAGCGTTGGCTTAGCTGGATAAGCTCCCTCTGGTGTGTGTTGAAATAGGAAATCAGATTTACTGGCGGGGCGGCGTGTGTAGAATACTACCGGTGGCGCGGTGTTCTACGGTCCGCGGCGATTGCCTAGAAAAATGAACTTTACTAAAATAATGTACTTGTTTATTAATCAAGGCAAGCTTGAATTATTAAGGGGCGAAAACCCCTTTATGGAAATGTCTGGTCTGTCCGTCTGTCCGTATCCACGATAACTTTAGTACGGATTCGAATTTCAACATCTGGTATTCGGCAACGTGTTTCTAATTTTTGGGGACGGGATAAGTTCGAAGATGGGCGTTGTAGGTCATAAGGTGACGACGCCACGGTGATGACGCCAACGGTCAAAGGTGTCGAATTTTTTGTTTCCGCCGTTTTAGACGTAGTTTTTGGCGGGGATTTCAGAAATCGCCATCATTTCGACGCAAGACGACCCCATCACCGTGTGGGAGGTGTCGAATATTGAAAAAATTACTTGTCCTGTGGGGTGTCTATTGAGAGGTATCGTCGTGTACATTCGAAGTACGAGAGTGGAGTGTCAAAACGGGGCAAAATGAGACGTGGAGTGATATGGGGCAATGCCAGGAAAGTTCTGAAAGACGTTGTGGGCGTGCCACAAAGACAGTTCCGTCTGTTTTCACCCCTTCGCTACATTTCGTTTGCAACAGTTTATTTTAAACTAACAAGACAAATAATTTACTAAAACATCCTAGCACAGTAAATTAATTTATGTACATATGTATCTGTATCTGTATGTCTGTATATATTAAACCTGGCATCTTTAAGATTGTGCTCGCATACCATTTCGACTAATTCATATAATAACAGTAAAATTAGTAATTTTTTATCCATCCAGGCAATATAAGGACACTGCCTTGCCTTGACTTACGGCTACTGCATGCGTAATCCAATTACTAATTATTTACAATTAATTTAGGGTGACCATATTTGTCCTGACTAAAACCGGGACATTTTTTGGCCAAAAAATTTCGCCATAATATCTAGTGCTTGGCGAAAAATTTTGCCATAATATCTAGTGCTTGGCGAAAAATTTTGCCATAATATCTAGTGCTTGGCGAAAAATTTTGCCATAATACACAGTTAAAAATTTTGCATTGATGTGAGGTAAAAAATAACTTCAAACGGAGTAATAAGTGCAGTGATGCTACATAGAGTATATTGAGGGAAAAATATCATGGGGTAATCCGTTTTACTCTACCTTGCACTCGGTGTGCATCATATAGTGTTAGTTGCATTACCCCTTATAAGCCACATTTCGTACCCCACATGAATCAAAAGCATCTGGATAGTTTATGTAGTATAATATTTTTTATCTCATATCATGGCGCAGAGTAACTATATGAAGTTAATAAATTACATATATAGAGTATCGGTTATCTTTTGCATTTATTGTACTTGCATACGTCAATTCATCATAAAAATTACAATTCATATTAATAATATTATTTAGCTAATTATCTAACACTATTATGTATAGGTTCTAAGCAATTATTGTCTCCTATCCGAGGAAGAAGTTCACGTACGAGCGAATTATCCAGGTTAAATAGTGTATCGTAACAAATATTGTTTTCTACATAAAAATACAAGTAATGTTTTAGATATTTGATAAATTGCAAAACTGTTTAAAAAGGATACAAACCGAAAAATAAGTAAGAAAGTAATACCTTCAAATGTTTGAATCCAGTTACGTTAGAAGTCGCTTGACCTCCGCAGTGTCCATTTTTAATTAATAATTTGTTGAAATTTATAAACTGAAATCTTTAGAAGATCAAGTGGACAGAAAACTGACTGAAAGTAAAAAGCGGGCGTTTAACTCAATATCGGTGATAGACCATGCCGAGTTTAGCTTATACGGGGTAGCCAAGTTTAATGTAGGGTATTGCGATCTGGCATTTACGCTATGTATGACATCGCTCCTTCATATGAAATTAAACGTGCGCAATATTGGGTTACTTTGCGTCACTTTCTTCATCTAGGGTAACTTTTCCCTATTACTTTACGATGGGGTAGTGCGATTTACGCAATATGCAGTTAATAAAAATTTTACTTGTCGAAGAGTAAACGTCTTTTCTAACTGTGTATCTAGTGCTTGGCGAAAAATTTTGCCATAATATCCAGTGCTTGGCGAAAAATTTTGCCATAATATCTAGTGCTTGGCGAAAAATTTTGCCATAATATCCAGTGCTTGGCGAAAAATTTTGCCATAATATCTAGTGCTTGGCGAAAAATTTTGCCATAATATCTAGTGCTTGGCGAAAAATTTTGCCATAATATCCAGTGCTTGGTGATTCAGATATCACCGAATTTTGGGAATGGGCCAGGAAAGAAAATTAAATGAATATTACATGTACGTCACTAGTATTTATGTACTAAAATGTACTTTTTCATCAATATTTTGGCGAAAAAGTGAAATAATTTAACTTTGCTCTACGATTTAAAAAACCGGGACACTTTATCAAAACCGGGACATTTTCGGGACGCCGGGACAGGGTTTGAAAAGCGGGACATGTCCCGGCTAAACCGGGACGGATGGTCACCCTAAATTAATTACATATATAAGTACGTAAACTTGTTTCAATAATTAATTAAGTAAAATGAGTTAATCAATAGAACTAACTTTATTCTAATTAATTTGTCACCTTGTTGAAGACAACACAGGTTTTGAACTTTATACTATTTGTTTGTTCTGAATAATTCATCTAGTGTAAATTTTCAAATTTTATTTAAAAAATAATACTATAATACTATAATAAATATTTATATAATTATAATAAATATTTTTTTCTAAATTTTCGAAATGATCGAACATTGAAAGAACAACTATGTTTAGCAAAGTTATGAATATATATAACTATTTTCGCAATTTTGCCAATGCCAAATTTATTTTAAAACAAATTAATATTTTTACCCGAATGAAGACCAACCTTAAAGCAAAACGACACTCTATGCAGAAGCGGCCAAGCGCTGTTAAAAGTAACGCCAGCAGAATCACAAATGCTGTGCCAATGTTTGAAATCAACTCTTGTGGCTTAAATTCTTGCTTCAAACTTACCTTCCCATCCTTAATTTTTAACATGTGCAAATAAATCATAAGATTTTGCCAAAAACTGTACAACCCACTTTCAACCACGTGTTCAAACTTCATCTTTTACTTCGCCGTAGCTTCGCCCCAAGCTCCAATCCTAGCATAAATTCTCCTCTCAAATATCGTGTCGTCACTTCTCTTGTACACTTTCCCATTAAGATGGGATCTCCCACTTTGGCCAAATAATCTCGTGATAAAGTGGTCAGAGCGAAAGTATGCGGATTGTGTCCCAATACAAGCCCAAACCTGGACTAAAAATGGAGTTCCATATCCTAAGAAACTTATTCCTCCATCACTAATGGAAGTGCAAGAATAAAAAGAAAAACTTTATTCCCTAGATAGACATAATCGAACTCTAAGTTATATTCGGGAACAAATGAACTACGAACAGCCGTTGGGTCTATTTCGAACACAATCTGAACTGCAATTGACGTGGTTCTGTTTCCACAAAGAATGCTAGCTACTACAGTTCCAGTGCTTTCCTTGAGTGGCATGCCTTTCAGAATGTGCAAGAGTTGGCGGAAATCAGAAGTTGATCGACTCCATTTCGGTGGAATGTTGTCACTGCTTCCAATATAAATTTTACTATGATGGACACATAGTTCCGATACTCTTGCAGCCCATGAACTGCCCAATCTAGGGATGGAAACAAGCTTGCTTTCTCCCCAAAATAATTCAACTGACAATCCATTAAGTCTGTAAGTTCGAGTGTTGCCCTCTAAAGTAATCAGTAGCTGACAAGGAATTTGAAATGCAACCAAAATCAAGTTAAGCAATTTCCTATGGAAACCAGGTCCAGAATTGAATAGGATAAAGACAACCCTACTGAAATACACAAGCTCTCTGTATCGTCCAGCAGGCTCGAATCGTACGGCACGGCTGTGTTGGGGAGGGATCACCACGGCGTAAATGAGGCAGGTATGGTAACTCCGGATAATTGGATTTATTCGAGCAAGTAGTTTGTACGACTTGCTGAAATAAGGACAGGAATTAGTCAGTGTGCGATCGCAGTGCGTTTTGGTTGCCGAAATTTGCTTAATTTTTGTGGCGAGGCATCCACTAAAATCTTGCTACGAGTTTCGCAAGATGTGAAGATTGCCTCTTAAAATTGTGCGGCAGCAGAAATTAATTAAATTATTGATGAATTGTATGAATTTTTGATACTCACTACTTTACGGTTAAATTTCCAATATCCAGGCCGTTTAATTGGTATGGTTGCCTAATTCCTGATGGGACTTGGAAATTCCCCACGTAACTTAAACCTATATGACATGGTCCACCTGAGTTTATGGTTTCTACAAACCCGGCAATTTCATATGAATCTTTTGCCATTGTATCCAGCAAATTACTTAGGGCGACTAGGACCGGCAATAAACAGGCTTGCTTCATTGCAGCTTAGGATCGGAATGATATCTTAAAGCAGTTTGTGGTTAAAGGAATTATTCACTTCTGCATAGATATTGATTCACAGGTACATTAATTTTTCAGAGTTTACCCATAAATAACGCTAAACACAAATGTAAAATATAAGGAATACAGAACTTCAAAGGGTGTTGATTTAATTCGTCCCGATTGTTTTTTTTTGTAACCCGACCTAAATTTACAAAAATGAGTATTTACTCATTATTTTAAATTTACAAAGTCAAAAGAAAGGGTTAAGGGCATGATTAGTATAAATTGCCGGAATACAAACACAAGCAATATGTCTCCAATTAAAAAAATTACCCCGAAGTTTTCACTGTTTTTGAGGTGCAAGTTTTCGAATATTAACAAGAGAAATCGGAACGAATTACATCAACACCCTTTATAAATTTTGATGTATGCGCACAAAGGCAAAACTATGTATGCAGATAAAGCCATGGTTTCATATTAATCACTTACTGTCGCAAGCGATACTGGACACGAATGTAAAAATAGTAATAATTTGTATGTATGTATGTATATGTTTTAGGCTAGGAAGTGATAGTTCGTGTATTGATTAAAAACGTACATATATATGTATTTAATAAATATGTATGACTGCTGAATATAAGCTTTATGTAAAAACAAGGTTTGTTTTTTAAGCACAACCACGCAAAAGGCAAGTAACAAATAAACAAGTACTTCTTTCCACTTATAAATTATTAAAATTCGGACCAGGCATTGAGAACCATACATACGAGTAAGAATTATATGATTCGACAAACAGATCCGCCGAGTATTTCAAAAGTGGAATTACTCTGTTTCAGTATGTTCCCCACATGAAAAGAACTCAAACTCAACATTTTTTTCTGGCGCCAAAATTTTCCCTGGGGGGTTATGAGAATAATGGGAGATTCATATGGTGCACATAGGGCACTGCATATCTATGGAACGGGTGGATGAAATTTCAAAAACAAAATTTTGTTACACTCTTTGGATCAGTACCTCGAGGTGTTTTTCGAACTGAGTTGAAATTCCAACTTTTAGGGGTTTTGTGCATTAACGAAAAATTTCCGGAAAAATTGGTTTCTGGAAATGACGAAAAAAGTATGGCGCAAGGTTTATCGGTTAGATCTACCCCAATTTTTGATATGTTAAAGATATTTGGTAGTAGAACGAAAGTTAAATTACCCAAAAAGTCGAAATCGACCTGCGTGACCTTCTTTCGGGGAACGAAAGGTCACAATGTCAAAGCTCACGGGGCCACATAAATGGGATATCGTTGCAAAGGTCTTGACGAGAGGATTCCGAAAATATATACTTTGTGGGGTCTGGGACCACACCCTGCAAATCTAGAGGCAGGAGAACATATTTGAGTTTTTCCCATTCATCCTTCCGTGTTAGCTCCCAATTCACTGCTGTGTTAAATTTTGGTCAACCGCAGATTTTCGTTCTTTTGTCTCTAAATAATCAGGGGGTCGTCCCAGACCCCACAAAGTATATATTTTCGGAATCCTCTCGTCAAGACCTTTGCAACGATATCCCATTTATGTGGCCCCGTGACCTTTGACATTGTGACCTTTCGTTCCCCGAAAGAAGGTCACGCAGTTCGATTTCGACTTTTTGCGTAATTTAACTTTCGTTCTACTACCAAATATCTTTAACATATCAAAAATTGGGGTAGATCTAAACCTTGCGCCATACTTTTTTCGTCATTTCCAGAAACCAATTTTTTCGGAAATTTTTCGTTAATGCACAAAACCCCTAAAAGTTGGAATTTCAACTCAGTTCGAAAAACACCTCGAGGTACTGATCCAAAGAGTGTAACAAGATTTTGTTTTTGAAATTTCATCCACCCGTTCCATAGATATGCAGTGCCCTATGTGCACCATATGAATCTCCCATTATTCTCATAACCCCCCAGGGAAAATTTTGGCGCCAGAAAAAAATGTTGAGTTTGAATTCTTTTCATGTGGGGAACATACTGAAACGGAGTAATTCCACTTTTGAAATACTCGGCGGATCTGTTTGTCGAATCATATAATTCTTACTCATACATAAATACAAATTTATTTATCAGTGGTCAACGCCGACCAATCTGGCGTCAGCGGCGGCGCCAATTTGCTGTGAATATAAGGCGGTGTCGGCCGGCAGGCGTGTAAGAATACGAAGTATATAAGACTCATAGGGATACCCATAAATTATGTAAGGCAAAAATGTCGAATTTATAGACCCGCTGCCAGCCTTTAACATGTGCCAAATATCTTTGGAGGCTTGAACCAGAGTGTGCAAAAAAGCGCCTTTATGGGAAAAAATTCATGCCTTTTTGCCGTTTTGCCCGTTTCAATGCCGGATTGCCTTTTTGCGTGCCTTTTTGCCCGTTTGATGCCTTTTTGCCTTTCTCCGTATGTTTCCATTGGGTATTGCCTGAACCATTTGATAAATTTTTCTATAGACAAGAAAGAGTGACAACAATGTAATTAGCTTTACATTTCGTTTTTCTAAAACTTTAACAACCTAACACTTTTTCACAGCTACTCCGCAAAATTATTTCCCTACGCGCGCATGATAATTAAGAATATTTGTGCACCTAAAGATGTGCATATGCATAGATAATAATCTACATGTGTATATGTACATATATATAGATGATAATCCAAATCGGCTTAATATCTTAATTATTCACATATCGAAAAATCCTGTGAACTGTGAACGATTACCACTAAACAGCATACGATAGTATGATCACATTGCCCCAATTTTACCAAAAAGGCATTTCGGGCAATCGGGCATGGCCAAAATTCACGTGCCTAATAGGCAAACAGGCATTTTAGGCACGGCATGCCTTTTTGCCCTTGGACACTCTGGCTTGAACCCCTCACCCCCTTCTCCCGCGACGTAATTTTTGGACAGGCCCCAAAAAGCTACAGATCTCCGGTGGAGCGAAATCGTGAAATCGGGGCGTATTGTCCTGTGTAATGCACATTTACATATCTATACGTATGTAAATGCCCCGATATTTCGCCAATTTTTACTTCTACCCAGTGCCTACACTTATCTACTCTCGTTATACAACAGTTACCGGCGGAGGTCGGAGGTACTTTGACATTCAACTGCTTCGGTAAAACGTAATTTATCACCGGTCGGAACATACTTTTACATAGGCTAAATCCTACTCCACCCAACACGTAAACACTTTGGTAATAAAAATATTACCTGCACCTGAGGCAATTTCGTACATTAAGAAGATAACTTACAACTATAGTGTTACCACAAAGGACAAGTGCATAATACCATCGACGATAATAATCATATGTACATGTCACAAAATTATATGTCATATCCTATATCATTCTCTCCTTCAGCTTTCACAATCACGAGATTTTATGTACATTACACACTTGCCCGTATGCCCATTATCCAGTCTCTTATCGCATAGTACAAACCTAATTATCTCCTTATCTACTCTATAACTGAGGGAATATAGACAAGCAATATGTGCCATTAATCATTAGAGGTTCTGTTTTCCACGCAAGCACCAAATATCAGGAACACTTACACAGCTGACAATTCACACCTTAACAATATTTAACGTCTCAGGAAAAAGTAAGTTGTTTCATATTCTGATTTTTGCATCCTCAATTGCATAATTTAACAGGTTACATAAGAGGATAAACAATTAATTTATGTTAATATGACGGCTTAAATAAGTTTCGCGACATTAATTAGAATTTTAGAGAATTGATAAATTGCATGCCCCGCTAATAACGCATCACAGTGTCTGATAAAAGATATCTAGTTTCGCTTTATGGTTTGCAGACATAGTTGGGGAGGAATGCAGGAATGCAGGAATGCATGACTCATTATCCTCAAAATCAGCACATTTTGAAGGATTTATCGACTCGGAATTTATTTTAAACCTTTTAACAACTAATTTACCGAGCAGGTTGTCGCCAATTCTTTTTAAAATATCACCCGTGTTAAATGTAATATATGTAACGCAGACAATTTGTCTGCTTATCGTTCAGTGCGGATAACTACTCCCATAATTTTATCTCCAACCAGGCATATGTACATATGCACATACTAACAATGCTATGGTGTGAAGTGTAACCCTCCGATTTGGTTGAGATTTCGAAATTATGTGGTCCATGTCAATACAACCAAAGTTTCTTGAGGCAGTTTGTGCGATGGTGAGAATTTGCCAACATATTTCCGGGCAAAGTTGAAAAACGGGCGATTTTTACCAGGCGGAGGAAGCAAGCTCAACTTCCATTCTCTTCCCGTACTAAAAATTGCACATTTTCCAACTTTGACCTCAAATATTTTGGCAAATTCTGACTATCGTACAGACTTCCTCAAGAAACTTTGGTTGTATTGACATGGACCACATAATTTCGAAATTTCAACCAAACCGGAGGGTTACACTTCACACCATCGCATTGTACATAAGCTTAAAAGTCAACGCATACCCAGGCTTGGTATTATGCTGAATATTTAAATAAAGTTGTGTAAAACTTTGTCAAAGATGAGTAACGCATAGGATGATAAAACAATCCGCTGACACTTGTCCAATACTTTTGTTGCCTCGTCCTCCATTTCATTCGACTAGACTTTATTGCATATGCACACAACTTTGCTTTGAGTTTAAATATGTTCAACAAGCACGGCACGCGAAGGGTTGAGACCTCTCAATTTATGCCGCATTGCATTTTATTAAACTTAACTTTACTCAATCTATTCTCAGGTCGGAACAAATTATGAAAAAACGTGAAATTACTCTTCTCCTATTGGGGAAATCAGGCGTAGGAAAATCCACCTTTATCAACTCCTTTGCCAATTATGCTACTCACGCTGACATAAATAACATAAAAACCATCCAAGATGTCCACGCCCCTATTCCCTGCTTGTTCATGATGACTGACAGCAATAACAATGAGATCGAGGTTACCCTCGGCGACGAGAAAAATCAAGACGGAAACGAATAAATGGACTCTACGGGGGCCGGAACGCGGGCCTGTAAATCGTACAGCTTCGCCTTTCAAGATGTCACTGTCACCCTAATCAACACCCCCGGAATTATAGGCACCGGTGGGGTCGAAGTTAATAAGCAACACCTGGAAAACATCCTGGAATTTGTATCTTCCATTAAGTCCATTGACGCCATTTGCATCCTCCTAAAACCCAATGAAGATCGGCTTGACAGCATTTTACGGTACTGTTTCCTAGACCTGCTGTCCCAACTGGATCGTTCCGCCGCTCGAAACATTATCTTCCTCTTCACCCATTCCAGAAGCATCCAGTACCGACTTGGATCGATGGGGACGTCCATCAAAAAAATCATGGAAACAATCAAGGAGACAAAACCTGACTTGGATTTTGAATTTTTTACGGAAAATTGTTTCCTCTTCGACAGCGAGGCCTTCAAGTTCGTCGTTGCAAAGGATAAGATTGGAGATAAAAGTAATTCAGGAAAGTTGGAATAAATCGCGGCAAGAGTGTATTCGTCTGGTAAAGAGAATACAAACTTTTACAAGTCGTGACGTCTCGAATATGATGTCCATTTTCAGAACGAGACAACTTATCGACGCTCTCCTCCCTCTATTGAAAACTATTGAGGGTCATATCCTAGAAAATGAGGAAGCTTGTGGCTTAAAAGAAAAACAAATCCGGGAATTTCAAGGGGATATCACTGAACTGCAAAAAATCATGTACATTCCAAGAATTCATGCAGAAATCGAGTATTTCAAAAATCCCAGGATAATTTGCAAATCCGAAAAGTGCACGATGCGAACTAAAGTTGAGGTGGAATACGAACCACTGCGGGACCAAATTTGCTACGAGGCAGAAACATCGGTATGGACCAATTTGAAAGGTTTGTTGGACGCCCACCCCCTCGTCCGAGGACCTAAAGTTGCAGGTAAAATTGTACATCATTTTAATATCAGTACAGTTGATACAGCAAATTCTTTAAGATATCAGTTTACAATTTCACATGCTTGATTTAAATAAGTACTTTTTCCTCTAACGCGTGTTGTTAACTTATGTAAATTAATTCTACTATTCTACTATTAATCATAAATACATGATAGGAACTACTTTGACAAAACTGCATTTCTTATTCGGACAGAATCGAGTATAAAAATGATACTATCCTAAAATATGTCTCAGGTTACACCATGAGGGACCTAGCAATACTAGCGAAACCACTAGTACTCGGCACTTCGGTCCCCACTCGAAAGGGGTTTCTGCCCGGGATTTTCAGTGCTTTTGCCATACAAAAGGCGTTAGGACATGGTTTTGACGAATTCATACTTTAATTGCGGGATGGTTTTTAGTCGTAGAGATTTCTAACTTGTTTTATGTGAAAGCCCATGTCTCAAACTATAGGTAAGCATATCTGGCTTCCGATTTTGTGTACTCTGCGAAATGAGGCAAGGTCAAATTTGGAGAGGTGTCCTTTTTTAGTTTTCCAAACCAGTGTTCTTATAAAATGGCGTTGAACAAAATATTTTTTTCTTAGGTCCTGATGCAAAAATCGTCTTTGCGACTATTTTTAAGGGACTTAGCATGCTTTTCACTATATAAAACCACGTTTGCCTTATGCGTATCTTTTAAGTCCGTTTTGCAGTCTAATTTCATACTTGTCTTAATGGAATGCGCTCTTTAACGCAACTCTTCCACTTTTAAGGCCCCCACATTTTACGACTTTGATGCTAAAAATCCCTAACGTGGTTTTTATCCAAGGTACATATAGTATATTGCACTTGAAGTACTTTTGACAAAATTTTGATAAGTGGTTATACCCCACGGACTGAGTTTTCATCAGACCTTATAAAATTTTTGGAAAAGTTCCCGTCGTTTTCGATGTCGAACTTCAGAAATAATTTAACTAACCAAAACGCAATAATTTTATTATTTTGTCACTTGTACCTTGTAGATAAAATAGTTCTGCAGTGGGGGACACAAAAAGATTAGTAAAATTTATTTTCTAAAAAATTTGACCATTAATTTTCCAAATAAGTTCACGAGTTTTTTAGGATTCCGCGACAGCTGATTAGCTAGGGTCGTTCTCCAAAACTGTTTACACAAAATCTTCACTGTTTAGTTTAATATTATTTGGGACACTTAGAGCTTTGCCCTCAATCTTCATTTGACCGAGTGGGTCCGCGTTCAAGGTCAGCAGGTCAATTTTCCTGTGCACGGTCCAATTTATCAATTTTCATGAAAAAGTATCAGCGATGATGGAGGCCCAACATTATGTAATTCATGTAGATTCTTTTATTATTACATGCAATGATTATCTAGGGTTGTAATATTAACAATCATTCACCTCTGACCTCTTAGGTTATCATGCTATATGAGTAATTCAGTTTGGAAAGTGTTTTTTTGGCTCCTTCCAACTCTGGGGGCACTGGAGGGGGCATTTATAAAGCTATCGGCCTAAAATTTTAAATATGTCTTTTTGAGAGTATTATCTTACAACTGACCAAAAATCAGTTCAAAATTCAACTCCCCGCCAGAGATATTCACCCGCGAATTCGTCAAAACCATGTCCTAACGCCTTTTGTAAGCAACGTTTTTTGCACCTATTTTTGTGTGTCGAACGTAGAAAACTTATTGCATAATGTGGAAAGTGCTTTTTTCCTATCTGGTATGATAGAAACACAATTTTTTATTCTATTCGCTGGTGGATTATGCGGAATGGTGAATAAAACGTCGGAAATTATTCTGAACCAGTTAAAATATGCCAGCCTGGGCAGGGTTTTGGATAGAAAACTGTTCTTGAAACGGGTTCGTGGATGTTCGGCAGTAAAAGTGAGGTTCGGCAGTAATTTTGTAGATGTACTGACACCCTTGAAAATGATAGTTCTGTGTATTAAAGGCACGGTGAGGTTGTTATTGTTGAGGTAATTTAACTATTCCTATTTCAGAGTTAATAATCAAGGTGTATTAGATAAATAAATATCTGCCCATTTTTGAGCAATGAATAAAGTAAATGTGCCAAAATGTTTCCTCGTAAGTTTGGGTGTTGCGCCGAGAAATACAACTCGATACCTTGCGTTAAAATTACCCCTTCATATGATAGCCAATCCCTCCCAGGATTGGGGAGAGTTGGCACTATAGTAATGCAAAATGTATCATTAATTAGGTTCAGTACAACATGATGTGTAACTTATCCCGAAAGCTCAAACAATTTTTCCTCCTAGGTTACTAGCCCAAAAAACGCATCACAGAAGTTGACTTCAGAAATCTAGAGTTTTAACTTAATACATGTATCTACATACATACTTAATACATACATAGATCTTTTTGTAAGTAATTTACCCAAAAAAATAAGCTTTCCACGTTTTTCTTTTACCCAGTTTCCATCATAAATATATTTTTAACACATATTTCAGATGTGATATTCCGTCCTCTCCACATTGTGTCACTAACCTCACAGAATCTCATAACCATCGTAACTTACGAATAAATATCTACGATAAGAAGAATACTAAGGTCACGAAGAAATAATGAAGATGTTAAGTTTTCTAATTAATTAATAAATCAATAAATCAACATCTGTTAATTGCCGATCAATTGCGTATTCATCACGGCACGGTAAATTTATGCATTTAGCCACAAAACAAACATCTGCTCTGAATAAATGGATGTACGTATAAATTTATGCGTCATTCTGATATTCGCCCTACATAAATGGTGAATTATAGAGATTCTAATATGCGAATTAACAATTCTCCTCGTAACACTCTTGCATATATTTTATAATACAAAATATTTGCCTATACGTATTGGTTCCGCAACTCTTTACTAACAAGCAATTTTATTCTAATTTGAATCCTTATCTTCAAATCGGAGGCATAAATCATCCTAATTCTTTAGAATCGAATATGAGATCCTAACCGACCTTTATCGCTTTTGAAGATTTGTATTTTTAGCCCGAACCATGGCTTATGTAATTGTCATGTCCGTCTGTCTGTCTGTCTGTCTGTCTTTCGATAACTCTCGAACGCGTTGACCGATTAACTTAAAATTTTTACCATATGCATATTGGACAAAGTTAGGAAACGAGTTCGATGATGGGCCAAATCGGTCAAGTGGTTGACCGGTGGGGTTCGTCGGAGTGGGTGGGGTATCATGAACCAAAATTTCAAAATTGTCAAAGAAAACTGAAATTCGCTACAGAGGTTGCTAATGGCTCCTAGTAGATAAAAATGACTTTCAGTTGGAAAAAAATTTTATCTTGAGCGACCCTATGGGGTGACACATACTGATTTTTCAAAATCGTCATATTGAGCTGAAATTTGGTAGAGAGGTTGCTAATGGGTTCTAATGGAAGAATTTGGCATGACATTGATAAAATTTTAATCTTGAGCGACCCTATGCTATGGGGTGACCGATGCCGATTTTTAGAAATTAACATAGAAAGCTGAAATTTAGACCAGAGATGCTTATTGCTTTCTCATGAAATAATATGAAGTTAAATATGAACAAAAATTAACCAAGGGGCTCTATAGACGACCTCCGCTGGGAAGTAGTCAAGGGGAAGGGATAGTAAATCTTTTTAGAATTTGGAGCCTAGTAATACGAAGGATTGATGGAAGAATTAGTGTACATTAGTAGCACATAATTTCATACAAAACTATTGACAAACATGGGTTTACTAATCACTCCTGGTTCGAGCTAAACAAAGCTGTACTGATAGGTTTTTAAAGTTTGGATTCTTGCGCATCTTTAAAAACCTAACACTTAAATTGTACCTGTCAAATTAAAATTGTATTCATCCATTCATTCATTCAAATCTAATTTTGATCTTTTAAATATTTAAGGGTCACCCCGCCATAACAATTGCATGTAAAAAATTCCCCCATTTAAAAAATCAAACCATAGCAATTAAACTATCTATAAATCCTGACATCCGAAGGACAATGCCTTGAATCTATCTGGGTTACTGCATGCATAATTAATTGTATGACATCAAATGCACACATATGTAACTAACGTCAGCCTAGCAATAAAACTCGTTACACGTTACGCTAAACGTGCGTAATTGTCACACATCAATGGTCCTGAGCATCATCCGATTTACTTAAATAAATATTTCTGAAAAACTGCAAGATTTGCAGACATGATTTCATTTTTGAGTGTCCAACTACTTCTTCTGACCGGATTAACCTTGTGCTGGGTAAAGAAAAAGCAAGCTATTTCATTCCTATCACGTTTCTGTATTTAGGACTTGCACCCTAAATAATTTGAGAACAAATGGTCACACGCTTACATACCTCCGCGAGTCTCTAAATTATTTAAAGTGTAAATATGTAACGAAATATGTAGCTTATTTCATTTTTTCCATATTTTTTTAGGCTCAAGACTGCAACCTGATTACTCAGGTGGACATAGAAGCGCTGAAATACGTGCAGGTATTTATGTAACTGACAATGCAAGTCTTTTACGTGTACAACTCAGATCTGGTTGGGACCAATTTTATTTTGTTCACCACAAAAAATAAGCATACCCATATTTTTTCATTTTTCCGCGCTAATTTGAGCGCGGGGCGCGAATTTTAAAACATTTTTCAGTTAGAACGTCGCTTTTTAAAAATTCGGTAAATTTTCGAATTTTAGCGCGAATCCAAAAATTCAAAAACATGTCTCCTCGGAATGACTTACAAAAAATCGAATTGTCTCGAAATTTGAATTTCAAAATTTTTGGCCAGTTTTTGAAATCCATTAAAATTATAAAGTTCTTCAAATTTTTAATTTTTCAAAAAATAATGCATGTGAATTTTTTACAAGTCAAGTAAGTCATTCTGAAGAGACATGTTTTCGAATTTTTGGATTTGCGCTAAAATTCGAAAATTTACCGAATTTTTAAAAAGCGAGGTTTTGGCTGAAAAATGTTTTAAAATTCGCGCCTCGCGCTCAAATTAGCGCATTATGAAAAATGAAAAAATACGGGTATGCTTATTTTTTGTGGTGAACAAAATAAAATTGGTCCCAACCACATCTGAGTTGTACACGTAAAAGACTTGCATTGTGAGACGAGTGGAAATTTATCTACTTTTCGCTTTGCAATATTTTCCATGATTGCGAGCCATTAAAACCACCATTTTAGGCTTTTTTCCCCGACCAACATGCCATCTACTCCGGCTGTCTTCACTCCTTTATTGTGGTTGGTCCCTAAATAATATTTATAATTATGGGTTGGAAAATATTTTCGTGTGATGGAATTTCTGCCCGCCAAAAACACGTCTCCACTTGATTAACATACCGAGTGGGCTGAAATTCAAATCAAATCTATCACGCTTAAATATTTTCAAATCAATACCTACATTTATCTGTTCCTCGGAAATGTTACCTATGCAATATTTATATTTCGAATTTATTTATCAATAGGGAGACCCGAAAACGTGCGATGCTTCAAATTTTGTAATGCCATGGGTAATACTAGTTTGTAATTTGTTTATTTACCTTGTGTACATATTTGCACTCTTAAAAATAATTTCACCATTCTGAAATATATATAACTGCACTATGAATTTTATCTTGACTAAAGTATACTAAATCAATGGAAAACTTTACTATTTATAAAGTTAACGTGATTCTGGATCTAACACACTCTAAGAAATTTTATTATCATGCGGTTAACATACATATATGACTCTACCGTGCTACAGTAACAACTAAATTTTGGCAAAAGACTAAATACTGCCTTGCCCCGGTGGTGGACGAATTGAACCTCTTAACTTAACCAGACAGGTAGTCTTTGCTGCCACTTGGTGTAGGAAATGGTAACAGAGCGTTACCATACATACATACTACCGCGGATGTTAATACCTAATCTTACCACAGAGGTGGTAATATGCGGCATTAAGAATTTATTACCGGATTTTTTAGAGTGTATGTATGGTTTACTTAAGGATCGAATTTAGGTTTACGTATTTATCTACACACTTTTCAAAAATGTAAACACCACTATTTTTAAAGTGTACATATGTACACTTAGAAATCCGGTATAAATAGTCACGCAGGTATTGATTTCTCGGTATTAAATTTGCTACCGCTTGGTATTAAAACTATACCGGCCCGTAAAAATTTGATACCAATATTGTAAAACTTTAATACCGGGTTAATACTACGCAGTATTATTTATCAATACCACCTTGGTAGAGTCATATATGAATACCTCATGCTATTATTTTAATACTGGATTTCTAAGAGTGTATCGTCTAAAGTCTGGCTCGCATTTGCATATTGTTATGTATTTATTTTATCTAGGCTCCTTCATGCCAAGCTGCCGTGCAACACACCGACTTCGCTGCGAGGGCGAGTTCTTAATTTATAAAAAAAAATATATTCTTAAATATTTAATAACAGGAAAAAGTTTGAATTCTACAGGTTAAAAAGCATAACCTGATGAAATACAAGAGCATGATTGAGAATGCAATATATTCCAATGGTGGAGATGCCGATGTAAGATTCAAATCAAATTTACACTCAAAACAAAACGGTGTCAATATATGACTTAACCGCCTTGGTTACAATTGTGATTCCGAGTAGTAATGAATTCTTTCCGTCCGGTCATAACATTATAACTACCGGTATCAAAATCATCATAACTCGGATTCAACATTGTAACCAAGACGGTTAAGTCATATATTGACACCGGCGGTGTTGATCCGACAAATTTTTATTTTGAGTGTATCACGTTAATTTGTGTAAACTTCGAGCTACAAACCTGTAAGAAACCGTAAACATACGTCTGTCGGGAATTATGAAAAAAATGAAACTTGTCCTTAACAAATTTGGAAAATATTAATGATAGAAATTTTTTGGCCCGATTAAATTTTTCGATACATGTACAAACCCCTGTGACCCTTGATTATACGTCAGAGATCAAACACATCGAAAAAAAAAATTTATGGGAAACATTTTTGTAATAATCTGTTCTAAATTATGGAAAAGTTTTAATATTTTTTATTGTGGCGCACAGTACTGATTTCCATCTTTTAACGAATGCAGGAGATTTGCGAGTCCCTGGTGACCGAGGGTGATAAATTCCTACCCAAGTTGAAAGAGGTCTCGCTACTTACTTATATATATATATAAGATGATTATACATAAGTTTGAATTTGGCGGTTAATCGTATTTATTTTTCAGTTCGCAACCAACACAAATCTTCCGGCACGTGTCGCGTTTGACAAGTTTTGCAAGAAGGATTTCAGCTCGTGCGAGAGACTCGAGTTTCCAAAGGAAGTCGAAGACTATTTCATGGTATGGGGAACGTCCATATATTACGTCGTTAAAAAGGTTGAGGAGTAACAATAATGAAAACCGGAATCACTTCACAAAAAATAAATTTGATTTGGATACGATTCTCAACGTTTGTAAAGCTGATTTTTATGAGTTCAGCTGTACCAATAATTTGGAATTACTCCGCCCCCTCGCTGAGTGGGAGGAGTCCAAAGTTGAAAAAAATCGCTCCGTCTTTGATTTTTAGCGCAAAGGCGGGTCAATATTTTTGAATTCGGGTTTCTCCAAAAGTTTCCTAATTTTGTTCCCTATAACCGTTTCTGACCGTTTTTTTAAATAATTTTAATTTTTTATATATGCATGCAATCAATAACTTGTACATACAATATGCAGAGTGATATGTCTCCCGCATATAAGGATTTAATCAAGACTTTCAAAACCACGATCAAGGTAACTATTTAGAATATTTGATAAATTCGAGAGGACCGCCACAATATATAGGGCGTTACTGGCAAAATTATCGCAATGTCTGAGGTTCAGATAACCCACTTAATTAAATACTTCAACTATTGACTTGTGTTTGGGGATGTCCAGAAATTATATCACGGCTGAGGGGGGTGGGATTATTAAAGTTACGCCCGATTTGTTCCACACGTTAGGCATAGTACTCAGAACAGATTTTTCACTTAAAAATGTTGAAAAACAGGAAAAAGAAAATTAAGGTGAGCTTCGATGAGTCATCCGGGCGCGTCTTATTCCGCCCCATTTGTCATTTTTCCTGATGGAGAATTTAAATTAACTTTTCGGCGTTAATATTCAATGAAGTTTAAATGTTACTAGGTTAAAATGTTCTATATTTTTTACTGAACCAAATTGTGGGGACAGATTTTTGGAAAACAATACCCCTTAAAAAATTGAAATGCTATTGCTTTAAAAAATTCTATAGTTTTTACTTAACCAAATTGTGGAGTCAGAGTTTTTGAAAACTTATTCCTTCCTCAATTGTATATGTCCCCTAGCAGGAAGGCAAGTTTTCCTAAAATCTGACTCTACAATTTTGTTAAGTTAAAAATGTAGAATTTTTTTGAAGTAATAACAGTTGAATTTCATTGAATATTAACGCCGCAACGTTAATTTTAAGTTCTCCATAAGGAAACATGACACATGGGGAAGGGTAAGACGCGCGGAATGACTCATCGAAGCTCATCTTAAGTAACATTTTCCAATTTATTTGAAGAAACACTCCCATTTGGTACATTTTACTGTAAAATTGAGATAATTCCAGCGAAGAAGTAGCTTAATACGAAACAAATAATCTGCCGTTTCGCGTAAAAAAATCCGTCCGGAGTACTAAGCTTTAAGATGAGATGTGTACATATTTAGGTAAGAGAAAATTTGGCGGGAGGGTAATAAAACTCGGGATGTATGCCTCACATAATTTATGGACGTTCCCCTATCAGAATGTGACCCTTGTTTTCAAACATTTCGAAAACTTTACTCGCAACGCTCTTTACGAAAACTTTGATATGATTCGGCAGTCCTCTGTACATAGTGTTCAAATTACAAAAAACACCTTTAATGTGAATAATTTCTCAGACGAAAGCCTTGCCTACTACGGGAGCTGTAAGTAAAGGAATTGAGCTGGCGTTCGGTGGAGCAGATTTTGGATTAAAGACATCAAAATGTTTCAATGAAGTTTTATCATTTGCAAAGAACTTGTTCCTACCAACTGTTTGATTGTGAGTGCATGCATTATTTGCAATTGAGCACTCAGACTACATAGATTTAGTGTTTAGTAAGATTTATAAATTTTGTAAATAAACGTCCATCAAAAAGTAAATATGTATTGGTACATACAGGGTGGTTTAAATGTCAGGTTACAATGATTTTTTTTTAATGGGAAAAATTCGTAAATTTCCATTACCTACCTACTTACGGATTTGGGATTTAGATTACTATTAATTTTTATCAAAACTTATGGAACATTGATGACAAAATTATTAAAATATTGAATTTCAGAAATTTCAGAAACTAATGGAGATTTACGAATTTTTCTCATTAAAAAATTTTCCATTGTAACCTGACATTTAAACCACTCTGTACATATTCATCTTTCGGGAGTGAGAAGTTCCATAAATTTTCGAAAAAAAACACTTTTTTTGTGGAGAAAAATTTTGAAAGTAAAAGGGATTTCAATGGCGAAAAGGCTTAGAAAAATGACCCCGGACTATGTAACATGACTCAAAATTAAACACTTTGAATCTCCCCGCGAAGGGAAAGCTTTATTTTTAAAATCTCGTTGCCCCCAAACTAACAGCCGATATGATGGGACTCACTCAGGGCTTCGATTGGTAAAAACCAAATTGACCAGGGCAGCGGGAAAAAGCGGGAAAAACCATTTTTCCCACCCACCCAAAATAGGTAGGAAATGGGAAAAATGGAAGAATTGGGAAAAACTCTGGATTGGAGCAATCAGAAACAACTTCTTTAAAACTTAAGATTTTTAAATTTTGACATCATATTCGTATTCTCCATCAAATTCTAAGAAAATAAGTGTATAATACGGCTCAATTCGAACAATCTTTAAAATTAACATGTATTCATATGGGAAAATTAGAAAAACATCAAAATTGTTCAAAAGTGCCCGTATTACATATCAAGATTTTCAGAAATTCCTGGAGATGGCAAATATGAAGTTCAATTCCAAAAATATTGAGTATTAAAGAAGTTAGCTTTCCCCATAACTAAATACATAGGCAGCCATATTTTCCCATTTTGGACGGTAAAAACCGTATCCCCGGGACCAATATGGTCCCCCGGGGGACCACTTGGTCCCTGGTCCTCGAGGGACCAGGGACCATTTTTTTAGATGGTCTCCCGGGAACCAGGGACCATTTTTTCAATGGTCCCCCGGGGACCAGGGACCATTTTTTTCAATGGTCGCCCGGGGACCAGGGACCAGGGACTATTTTTTTCAGTGGTCCCCCGGCGACCAGGGACCAGGGACCATTTTTTAGATAGTCCTTCGGGGACCAGGGACCAGGGACCATATGGTGGGGGACCAAGGTCGAGGGACCGGGGACCAGGGACCAATTTATTGCGAGCTATTCTAGAGTCACATACATATATAATTATATACATTCTTCGTACTGATATTTATTTGTTAACAACTTCCTAAGAGATTAGTATAAGTAGTTTGTTTCTGAGTGGTAAATTTTTCATTACCACAACATCACTAAACCGCAATGCTCGTTATTACCATGCCGGTGAAGTCAAACGTACCTGCACTCCGACTAACCATTTCCCCACCAGTTTTCTGAGAGTGTGCATAAATTTCGTTACATAGCAGAAAAATACATATATTGAAGTGGTTTAAAATCGTGTCTTGCGGTTGGCACGAAACCAACGCGTCTAGGACCTGTTTGGTCAACGCCTACTTTAGCCTTTACCACTTTTTCCACCGATATATGTATCCATGAAAAATGAACTTCCTCCTTACACCGGAGATTGCATGTTCATCGTCCAACCGTGGGCGTGTTTACAATCTAAGAAATCTAGTAATATAATAATACCATGTGGTAAATATGTATGTATATGAGATATGAATTATTCCTCATATCTGAAACCTAACGGTAATACATATGTATGTAGCGATACGTGGAGATTTAATGCCAAGAAATCCTTACGAATACATTAGATTATTACACCACATTTCTAAGAGTGTCTTGTGTTCGTTCGCCGCATAACTTGGAAGCACGGTTTGTTTGACTGTATCCTTGAAGAATTTCAAGATAGGGTCGTGTCAGATAAAAATTTCTCGATTTTTTTGAAGGTTAAAAATTTTAGAATATAGGTGCCTTACATATTTCGTGAGAGTTTTGTTGTTAGCAAAAATAAAAATACTCCGTTAAACATCATAACAGCCTAATGCTTCTAATTGAATTGCTAATTCAAACATTTATCAAGTAATTCAAGTAGATCGGTATCAGACAAGATGCCAATTTAACGGTTCAACCACAATTTATATTATCACAACGAAGACTGATAAGTCGACTAATTTTGTTGGATTGCTTTATTAGTTTGGTTGGCTTGGAAGAAAAAAAACCGCTGGACATTTCAGTATTGGGGAAACTATAATTTTGGTTGGGGAAAATTACATCTTCGTTGAGGGAATAAAATTAACACGATTACACAATCATAAAATGTACCAAAAAGTCCGAGTTCTATTCTATCTACACAAGAGCATTTTATTTTACTTCACAATCAAACTCTACCTGCCCAAATCAACTATGTACATATATTCCCACTGTTTTCAGTACAATGTTGGGAACTTTTTGAATGACATGACCTTATCAAGAAATTCTATACAAAAAAGTCAAGGGGCCCGCCTAGTCATACACGCAACCCCGTATATTTCTATCCCATCCTAACCTTGTAAATTCGACTAGGATCAAACTGACAATAGCCCTTTGGCTTAGGGGTTCGGGGGCGGAACTGTCACCACGCAGTCACACGTTCGATTCCTCTCTGTCCGGGAAGCTATTTGCTAATCCTACTCGGCTCGGTGTTAGTACGGGGTGGGTGCTCCTCTCATGGTTGGGTGAACCCGGCCAGACGGTCTGGCAATGCCAGAAAGGGGAGCCCTCGCAGAGTCCGTTCTCTGTGAGAAGATCCGACTCATCACCAGAGTTATATGGTGAGAAGGACAGTCATAGATTGGAAACCAGTTTGCTCTTAACTGATATCTGTTGACTTTAAAGCATTAGTAGTAGAAGTGTCTAGGTTTTTTCGCTAAAGATTTCTCGCCCGCTTTATTTCTTATGGGGAAATCCTTGGCTAGGTTTTCTCGCCAAGGATTTCTCGCCCGCTTTATTTCTTATGGGAGAAGCCAAAGATTTCTCACCCACTTTATTTCTTATGGGAGAAGCCACGGATTTCTCGCCCGCTTTATTTCTTATGGGAGAAGCCACGGATTTCTCGCCCACTCTATTTCTTATGGGAAAAAAAGACGGGTCCTCATCACACACTTCGTATGAGGAAAAAGAGGGCTCCTCGCCACATACTTTTCCTTACGGGAAAAAATATGGGTTCTCGCCACCATACATTGCCTTATGAGGGAAAAAGACGGTTAGGGCTTCTCGCCACAAGGCCTTTATAGCATGGGTATGTATTGCAAGGATATGCTGACTGCTTATAGTAACCAAAGTCTCAGATGTATTTTCATGTGTCGAAAAATAATGGCGGGACTTCTCAAATTGCCCCAAATATCTCAATTTACCCCCGTGGCATAGATTATCCTGGTGTCTCTGATTACCCCAAATTACTAAAATTACCCAAAATCTCAAATTACCCCAACAATGTATTTCTTATGGAAAAAAATCTTTCAGATGGGGGTACATGGGTTGAGAAGAAATGATGGCGGGACGTTTGAGACTTATCAAAAATGTCTCAATTTACCCTATTTGTCTCATTTTATTCAAGTATCTCAATTTACCCCAATTGTCTCAAATTCCCCACTTATCTTAAAAACCATCAACGAATCTTTTTACCTCTATATAGACAAGTAATACTCATTCAATTCTTAGTTACTCGCAGAGTCTTCAAGTTTAAAAATGCCTTTCTACTGTGTGCCCAAACATTTAGTTTGATTGAGCCTTTTTATCTTGGCATTTGATATAACGTTACTCGTAATAATCTGCTCATATTCTATAATTGAAAGTGGAAAATCAAACCAAACCTTATCTCAAGACGGTTACGAAACCGAATTGTCAGAGTACGAAATCCAAAATAAAACTGATTGCAGGGTTTGCTTGTTACATGTTCGACGATTAATAAAAACCCCGAAAATTGACTATAAAATGGCTTACAAAAATTTTGTGAACGTCACACGAGTTTAGTTCTCAGAATTGAAGAAACGTCATCATGTCGTCCTTTTATGTTCACATTGAGAGCAACTCCTCATTTTCTCACTTTCAAGATAATACGATATCAAGCTTTAGAAATTGGTTATGCTCACCAATAATTTTGGAGCCCAACTCGTACGAAGTAGCCTTGGTAGAATGTGCTTATCCATCTACACCAATTCGTTTTGGAAAGGGCGATGAATTGTACAAAGTGTTAATAAAAAGTAATGACATTAATAGCCCCGTAAATGAAAACAAAACAATTTATAATAATATTGTGTCACTTGACTTGTTTAAAAATAATACGTATTCCGAGTATAAAACTCAGGATGAATGGATAACAGTTTGCAACAATACTAATATCGAAACATTTGACGATTTACTTGAAGCAATGTCTACAAAGGACTTTTTGTTTAAACATTACAACGGATATACTCTTTTATCCACTCGGACAGTTGAAGAAGATGTAGTCTACGATTTTCAATTTAATACGCAAATGGCCAACATACTTGGATTCCCTCATCAAATTCATTGTGACTCAAGCTTACAAGCAGATTATAAATTCAACTTTAAATCAAATAACTCGAGATATTATATTTATTGTGGCATTGTCGAAAACCAGCATGTGGGCGATACCACAGCACCAATCCTAAGATCGCTTGTAAATCCTTATACTGATATTGATAAAATTGTTTCAAAAACGTTCAACAATTTACAATATGTCTCAGTGGCAAAACCATTCATGGACTATATTCACATGTATATAAGGAACGAGTTTGGTGAACCTCCTCCATTCTCATTTGGAAGTTTTAGTGCTACACTTCATTTTAGAAGAAAACGTTTCTAAAATGTATTCAGAAAACGATTATGATGATTACTACCAAGCCTACGAACCTCAGATTGGAGGATCATTGGCTTATAAGGCAAGTTATTATCGACAAAAGGGAGCTGGTCTTGGTGGAGTTTTTGGCGCCATAGCCAGTCGTTTACTACCTTTTGTAAAATCACTGTTACCACACGTTGTGCCTCCCATAAAGTCAGCAGTTAAAAATATCGCAATGGATGTTATAAATAATAAGCAATCTTTCAAAGATTCTTTGCGTTCGAATGCAATGAGTGCCTTAAAAGAGGCTGGAACGAATTTACTCAACCAGTCTGGTGGTAGGATTAGACGAAGAAGGAGAGTTCGAAAACGTCAAGCAAGAACTTGTAAACCAACAAAACGTAAAATCAAACGAAAGCCAAAACGTAAACCTCTCAAACGTTTAAAATCAAAGTCGAAAACGAAGAAGAAGAAGAAGAAATCGTCAAGACGAAAGCTTATTTCCAAACCATCCTTGTTTGATTGAGAAAATGGCTAAACCAAAGCAAATTGTTAACTTTATTCGGTCAGAGACTGATCTATTCTCTGAACCCGGCTACGACTTGACTCTTGCCAGCTCACACCGAGTTGATTATCATCCAATAACAAACATTTCAGATCGATCCACTCCTCTGACATTTATTATTCAAGGAAATGATTCACAATACATTGACTTTTCTGAAACACAACTCTATATTCGCTGCAAGATTGTAGATAGCAAGGGAGCTGATAGGGATGCTGCTCAAACTGATACTGCGCCAATTAACAATTTTCTACATTCAATGTTTAGTCAAGTTGCTATTTATTTTAATGATACGCAAATCACTTCCCCAACTTCATTATACCCATACAAGGCTTACTTGGAGACTCTGCTATCTTTTGGCAAAGAGTATACCAAGACTCAAGCAATGGCTGCTCTGTATCACAAAGAAGCAGATCCAACCACAGGAGATGAAGGGTGGAAAACTCGAGAGAAACTGGCAAATAATAGCAAAGTGTTTGAACTGTGTGGAAAACTGAAGACGGCTATATTTAACCAAAACCGATTTTGCATCCCAGGAATTGATATAAAAATTGTACTATATCGAGCACCAGACAGTTTTTGTCTGCTAAGCAAGACCTCCGGATCAGCACAAGATGCAGCACAACTTCACATTATGGAAGCTAAATTTGTTGTCCAAAAGCATACTCTACTTCCATCAATTACAATGGGACATTTAAGATTAATGGAAAAGGGTCAACCTGCATGCTATCCAATGCGAAGAGGAGACATGAAATCATTTTCCCTATCTGCCGGAACACTACAGTATACAAACGAGTCTAATTACGGGTCTTTTGCCAGATCGTCTTGTAGTCGGCATCGTCTCGAGTAAAGCTGTACACGGACATTACAATGAAAACCCATTTAACTTTCTTCAAGCAGATATATCAAGCATCACTGTAACCGTGAACTCTGAGCAAGTAACATCTCAAACGTTTGAACTTGATTTCGATAATAAGAAAAGTATTGAAGCGTACTTTAGGGTATTTTCGGGACTGGGTCTATCAAATCTTGACACTGGAATAGAACTAACGTTCGATATTTTTAAAACTGGAAAAACTCTCTATGTTTTTGACTTGAGACACCAACATGATGGGTTCGCCATACCAAGACATGGAAGTGTGAAAATCGAGATAAAGTTACGAAATGCAACTACGTCTGCAAAGAACAGTTCTTTGTCATTGTGATTATCAATCAGTTTTGTACGTTGACAAGAATCGACATATTTACTTTAAGGACTACTCCATGTAAAAATGAACACGGATCAGATTTACCGAATTCTAGCAGGACTGATTTGTAAAAATAAAATTACCTTTGATGTTTGTGCCTGTGACGAGTTGGATGAACTTGTTTTAGAACATTATCCTATTGCTATTGTAATCAATAACCGTCCCACTTCTCATCCAGGCGAACACTGGACATGCATGTTTATTGAAAACAGGAACCTACCAATAAATTTTTTCTGCAGTTATGGAGTAGGAGTTGATGCTTATGCAAGTAATTTTCGTGAATTTATCGAACGACATGGAACTGGTGCAATACAAAATTGTGTCCAATTACAATCTCCAAACAGTAACGTATGCGGGCACTACTCAATTTGGTTTTTATGGAAACGAGTAAATGGTTTTAGTGTAAGAAATGTGTACAGTAATTTTTCAAAGGATTATTCTAAAAATGATAGATTAGTCAAAGAATTTATAAATAACAAGATTCATTTATTAAATCAAAAATGTTGTAACAAGAAAATTCATCAAAATTCAATAAATTTTGTACGAAATTAAAATGGGTTCCACTTTTGCATTTTCCTCGTCAATTTGTTAATCCTGTGTTCGTGCACCTTCTTTTGAATCCATGCACTCTGCTTCTTTGTCTTCTTCTTCTTCAGCTGCTTTCTTTTCAGACCACTCCCCTTCTGCTTGACAATAAATTGGTTGACGGTGGTTGGAAAGAGATCGGCTGGAGGGGACTTGGACTTTATAAACTGCAGCAAATTCAACATTGATGGATCCGATTTGAGAGTGGATTTTGCCGAGAATCCATGACATAATCCAACGAGAAGCGCGTTCATCTTCTTCAACGTATATGTCACATCATTTACAATAACCTTATCAGCAGTTATTTTTACACCATTTGCTTGAAGAAACTCGAGAATTTTCCGTCCCCGTCCAGTTGTGTTATTTAAAAGCACATCTAGAGTAGCACCTGAAACTTCACGTGTTGGTTTTGAAATCACTGTTGAGGGCTGTTCAGTAGCAGTTTCGTTCTCTGCATTCTTCACAAGTAGTGGCTTTTTGTCATCCTGCCTCTTGTTATCAATAAGTTGTCGATTTAAATTTTGCAAAAGCAAGATCTTTACTTCGTCAGGTATTGTAGAGTTTCCAAAAATGTTGGTTTTCTCAGCTTTCAGTTTCTCTTCAAGATCCAAGTCAACATCTTGTTGAGAATTCAACGCCAAGATTTTCTTGTACCAACTTTCTGGTACCACTTTCATTTTTCTAGCCATTTTCCAACAAGTCCACCAACTAATGTAGTTAAAATCGGAACTAGCACAGGAAGAAAGCCCCCCTTTTGACACAAGTACTTCTTTTTACTTTTGATTGGTGACTTTAAACAAAGTTTTTGTATGGCAGTCTTGTGTCGCAATAATTTATTTTTCTGAGCCTTTGTCACAGGAATATTTCTGTTGTTTAGATTGAGGCAAAGTTCACAAATGGAACGAATTTGTTCTCCCGTTGCTTTATTTATAAGCAGTTTTCTGTCCTTTGGCTTGCTCCTACATAGACGATGCAAGTAAGAAGCATGGAGCTTAACACGATTTTTCGGAGCCATAATAAGTCAGAGTCCTTATCATGACTATGCCCTATATCTGCAAACGTTGGTTTTATATAGTAGTCAGTTATGATAATGGGTTCAGCAAGTGCAGCAAGGATTAAGTCCTCCTACCTAAACGTCAAGAACCCAGGCTCCTTGAGCGGACTAGGAGGTTTCATAAAGTCTGGAAAACGAAAAGAATCTCGTCGAGAAATCGATAACGTTTTGAAAACTATTCCTGCTTATACGTTACACCGGTCTCGTAGAAAGATTTTTCCGAGACGTGTGGTATACGTAAAGCACATAAACGACCAGTGGGGAATGGAGCTGATGGATGTTTCTAAATATTCAAAGATCAATTACAACACGCATTTTTTGCTTACGGCAATAGATATTTTTTCCAAGCGAGGATATATTGAACCGCTCAAAAATAAGAGTGGTCTAGTTGTAATGAAAGGTATTGAAAAGATTTTTAAAAGAAGCAAAGGACTGCCTCTTCGCAAGTTGATCTTGGGCGTGAGTTTTATAACGTTCATTGTAAAGAATTCCTTGAAGATCTTGGGATAAAATTGGTTTCAGTTCAGTCAGAACTCAAATCTTGCGTGGTTGAGAGGTTCAATCGCACAATTTTGGAAAAAATTCATAGATTTATGACAAACTATGAAACAACTAAATTTGTTGATCGACTATCAGATCTTGAAAACAACTACAACTCTTCATATCACAGAAGTATAAAGTGTGCACCAAAGGAAGTTAACAAGAAAAACGAGCAAATTGTGTTTGCCCGCTTATACAACAAATTAATTGGAGTAACGGATACTCGTCAAGAAAAATTCAAAGTGAATGACGTTGTCTTAATCTCAAAAGTGAAGAAAATATTCGAAAAAGGTGCTTCAGCTAATTTCAATAAAGAAAAGTTTATAGTTAACGAAATAAAAACGACATTCCCCCGTACATATATTCTTCGTGATCTTAAAGGAGACATTTTGGAAGGAGGATTCTACCGAGAAGAAATGCAAAAAATATGATGGAGTGCATAAGAGGACTAGTATCACAGATCTCTGGCATATTTGCTAGGTTCAAGTCCAATTGTTGTATTTGTGCCAAATCCTTGTGCTGTTCTTCTCAAGTTGATAATCCGAGCAACGAGAATAACTCTATAGAAGTTTTTGATATTGAGTTTGCATTATCAAGTCTTGGACGAAAGTGTGACTCGTGTAAGAAAACTACAAAACGTTATCATAACTATTTAGAGAGCCCAAATTGGATGCTTTTATGCATTCAATGCGGGATTGTATATCTTGAAACGTTTCCAGAAAAATACAAAAAGGAAGAACAGCACACTATATTATAATCAGTAATCGTTTGACGAAGCAGGACAATGGACTACCTACTTAGCCCAAGGTTATACAACAGAGGAATTCCTTTTCAGTCGAGGTTGGAGGAAGAGTCCCAAACAGAGCAAGAACGTTTCATGAAACTTAAAGCTTGGTTTAAGAAAACAAGTACAAACACAACAATAAACCTTTCCAAGGAGACGAACCGCATTGAGTTTGACATTCATGAAGTGCCTCGACTATGTGAACAATTGCTAACGTTTTACATGAAAAATGGAGGAAACGTTTTGTCTGCACTCACACTACGTTCTGAAATAACACGACTAATACAAGAGCACAACGAAAGAGAAGTTGAAGACTTGAAAAGGTTCTCCATCGCACTACCGACCTTTTACGAAACGGACGATAAAAGATCCATAACCCCTCCAATGTTGTATTCACAGCCAATCGATGCTGTTGACCACTATTACAATAGCATTGGTGGAAAAACGTCTCCTCCACTATAAGAAGCGAGTGAATTTTTCAGTCGTCAGTACAGTCTTTACTCTACTTTCACAAAGTAATCATCAAGTTTGTAAACCCAACCAAGTTTTCGAAAATCATTATGGCTACAAAACAATCCAACATTTCGGGAATTGTCCCACCCCCAAATTCCCCTGCTTCCCCAAACCAAGAAGAGAAGGGCAACCCCACTTTTCCGACGTCTGCTGCAACCCAAACTGCCAACCCCACCCAATCTTCTGCAACCCGAGCTGACAAGCGAGAATTGGAAACCTCTACTCTTGCAACCGACGACAAGAAAATAAAGATTGAAGATGATCGGATCATCCAAGTGTATTCTAACGAGTTACTTGAAAAGATCCAAATTGTAATTGAAAGAAAGAAAAAGTGCATCTACTTGGATCTGCCAACCTGTTTCTACGTGATTAAACGACTCGTTGGAGCAATGCACAAGGATCCTGCTATACGAGTCCAACTGAGTACGCTTTGCATGCAGATGTACCAAGAGTTCCCTTTCTTTGCGAGCCGAATGCTCTACGAAGAGGCCGAAGAACATGGATTCAAAGAAAGCAAGCTTGCGTATAGAAGTGAGAATCCAGCCATTTGGGTAAGCCCCTTCAATGACGACTACTATGTGTTTATCAAGCAAGAAGGAGTGTCCGTTAATTTCAAACTTGACGATTCATGGGATGTTATCCACAAAATTGTCAAGACTGCATTCCCTCTCGTGGTTGGCGATGAGGGTCGATACATTGCATTTTTCCAATGCTTTGAACGATTTTTAAGCGAAATCCTGTACGCTTGTGAAGATCTCCACATGGCAAACACCTACGAAAGATTGAAAGGAGAAATGATGAAGCTTGGATTCAACGAAGTTCGAGAGGGAGCTACACCCAAGTTTTATGTTATGAATAACTGGGTTAGTGTTTCAATTCCCGACTTTAACCAAGCCAAAGATGAAGATGAAGAAGATGAAGAAAGAAAAGTGCTGGGTTGTGGAATCCAAACTGATATCCTGCTCAACCCATGGCTATTGAATTTATACGAACATCCGTTGCAGAATTATGGCATTATCTCACCAGCCGAAATGTGTGCCAAGAAGAAGATGTTGCGTGAAATTCGAAAACGTACAAAACCAACCAAGCCCAAGTTTGACATAATGATGATGGCTGAGTACTATGAGACGTCTGGATGGACACCAGTTGCGGAAGATGACTGGGCAGACATACCCGAGAAAGAGGGGGTCTACGTTTTTGGGATTGACGAAACGGGGCAGATTTGGCAAAAGTTTCGTACTGAAGCAAATCAAGACGTAAAGATTTGGGAAGGAGTTTTGGAGGAGCTATGCAAACCCAAGGATGGCGAGGAAGAACCAAATGACAAGACCATTACAGATGGGAAGGACGCAAAGCCATGCATGCATCCCCATCACCAATTTCGTGGTAACTGGCCAGCAAAATACTTGCTTGAGTTGCGAAAATGGAAACGGGTAGCAAAGTATGGTGATTTTCCACCCAATACCAATGGAAGGCGGAAGA